AGAGGAGACCGTCCCAGCAGTAATTATTTACAAAGAGCCCTGCCGCCTGTCACTGCGGCCCTTGCAAGCTTTTAATCACAGAGTTCAGGTTTGGGGTTAATGGCAAATCATTTCTTCCTGAAGGCTTCCCAGGGCTGGAAAGGGTCCCAGAGCTGCTGCCTGCGAGTGGCTCTTCCAGGGAGTGGATGACTTATTTATGAGATGTTTAGTGTGGCAGCTGAAGAGGCACACTGCAGCCCCAGCGGCAGAAATTGCTGCCTTCGCTGGTAGCCCAACAGAGACTAGTGACAAGAGCTATGGGCAAAATTGGGAGCTGCGCACGGCTTTTCTCTCTTCTTCTCCCTCATGACCTTCTGGCAAATAAACTAGTCCAATGTGGGCTAGACAAATCTACTTACTTAGGTGATCCTCCATTGGCCGAGTAGGATAGTCTTCCGGGATCAATCTCTTTTCCTGTCCACCAACATTCCATTTTCCGTTCTTGAGTTCGGAGTAGAGGAACTGCTTTGGGAGACGGTGGTCAGGCATCCAGACAACGTGGCCGGTCCAGCGGAGTTGATGGCAGAGGACCATTGCCTCAATGCTGGAGGTCTTTGCTTCTTCCAGCACGTTGATGTTTGTCCACCTGTCTTTCCAAGAGATTTACAGGATTTTCCAGAGGCAGCACTGATGGAATCGTTCCAGGAGTTGCATATGACGTCTGTAGACAGTCCACGTCTCGCAGGCGTATAGCAGGGTTGGGAGGACAATAGCTTTATAAACAAGCACCTTGGTATCCCTACGGATGTCCCAGTCTTCAAACAAATCTAAGGTTAGACAAATCTACGGTTAGGTGGATCTGTAATTGGTTAAGCAAACGAACCCGGGGGGCAATTTCCCCCAATGTTTCGTCGTCATCCTGGAAAGAAGTGACGAATGGAGTGCCATCAGCATGGTTCCATCCTGGGCCTGGTTCTCTTCAGGATCTTTATTAATGACTCTTAGATGAAGGGTTAGAAGGTATGATCATCAAGTTTGCAGATGACAGAAACCAAATTGGGAGGGAGAGCCAATCCTCCAGAAGACAGGAGCAGAATTAAAAACCATCACCACAGATTAGAGAGATGATGGGCCAAAACGAACACAATGAAGTTCAAGAGGGACAAATGCAAGAGACTCCACTTGGGCAGAAAAAAAGGAAATGCAAAGATACAGAATGGGGGACGCCTGGCTCGACAGCAGGACGTGTGAAAAATATTTTGGTATCTTTGTGGGGAACAAGTTAAACATGAACCAACAATGTCATGCTGTGGCTTAAAAAGCCAATGGAATTTTGGTCTGCATCAATAGGAGTCTAGTGCCTAGATCCAGGGAAGTCACGCTCCCCCTCTGTTCTGACTTAGTCAGACCAATTTACCTGGAATCACACTGTGTCCAATTCTGGGCACTGCAATTGAAGGGAGATGTTGACTCTAAGCTGGAATGTGTCCAAAGGAAAGTGACTAAAATGATCAAAGGTCTAGAAAACATGCCCTATGAGGAGTGACTTCAAGAGCTGGGCATGTTTAGCCTACAGAAGAGAAGGCTGATAGGAGACATGATGAGGGTCATGCATAAATATGTGAGGGAAAGTCATAGGGAGGGGGGAGCAAGCTTGTTTTCTGCTGCCCTGGAGACTGGGACGCGAAACAGTAGCTTAAAACGACAGGAAAGGAGAGTCCACCTGAACATTTGGAAGAACTTCCTGACCGTAAAGAGAGCTGTTCAGCTGTGGAACTCTCTGCTCTGGACTGTGTTAGAGGCTTTTAAGCAGAGGGTGGATGGCCATCTGTTGGGGGGTGCTTTAAATGCAATGTTCTTGCTTCTTGGCAGAATGGGGTTGGACTGGATGGCCCACCAAGTCTCTTCCAACTCTAAGATTCTATGATTCTTCGTCCTCCAGTTTTCTAAAACATACACTGCTAAGGTCAGGTCTTGTCGCTAACTAGCTTTTCCATTAATATCCATGATTCAATGGCTGAGTGGGTATTTGGACTCTTGAGTTGTTGTCCCAATGTGCAAACCACTGCACTATGTTGCCTCTAGAATATTGCACCATAAAAGAACTATTTGATTTGTACCTCCATTTTTTAGGATTGCTGTTTTCTTTCTGTTAAAGACTATAGCCAGCTTTGCTTGTTTCTCTGTGATGTATTTGACTATTGTTCCATCCCTGAGCCTTCCTGATAACACACAACAGTGAAAGGGTAGCAAGGGACAAAGGAGGAGAGGCACAGCTCCCAATTTGGGAAATGGTGGCTTTATCTAGAAGATCCATCCCCCCCCCCCCCCTTGAGAGGCTATTGGAGAATCAGGAGAGAGGAAGCCCTGAGTGAAATATGATACTCAGCATCTGCGTAGCAGACAGTGGCTGCAGCTGGATCTCTGCACCCCAGTGTGTGTGTATACATCAGGTTCGATTGGTGGTGCGCTCTGATAAATGCCTTTGTTAACCAAGTTGTAAATAAATCTAATCTGGACTCCAGCAGGCAGTCCTTCCCCCAACAAAACAGATGTAATTTATTTGGGAGCCCAAATGAATGGCACTGATGATGGGATGGGGTTGCTTGCAGGTTTGGCAAAGCTTGGCCCGATGAGCTCCTGTCATGAAACAAGAGCTGTTATCTGAAAATACTCTGAACATTTTAATCCTTTGCACTTCCAGGGAAGTGAACTTTCGGGGTCTTTTAGCACATGCTGGACACAAAACTAACAAAATGAAGTTCAACAGTGACAAACGCACTACAAGCGCACTGGCTTCTTTGGGAAGTAAGATAATTTGAGGAGGTTCTTCCTTTATCATGGTCGGCCACATTAGTAGTAAAGACTCTGTCTTTCCCACAATAATGGTACAGTAGAGTCTTGCTTATCCGATCTTAGCTTATTTGACATTCCGTCTTATCCAGTGCTCTTATCCGAAGCCCCCATTTTCCTCCAGCATTTCCCCTTCAATTAAAGGAGATACTCCACTTAGATACTCCACTTAGGCAGAAAAAACAAAATGCAAAGATACAGAATGGGGAATGCCTGGCTCAAAAGCAGTACATGTGGAAAAGATCTTGAAGTCCTTGTGGACAGCAAGTTAAACATGAGCCAACAATGTCATGTGGTGGCAAAAAAAAAGCCAATGGAATTTTGGCCTGTATCAATAGGAGCATAGATCTAGGGAAGTCATGCTACCCTTCTATTCTGCCTTGGTTAGACCACACCTGGAATATTGTGTCCAATTCTGGGCACCACAATTGAAGAGAGATATAGACAAACTGGAATGTGTCCAGAGGAGGGCGACTAAAATGATCAAGGGTCTGGAGAACAAGCTCCAGGAGGAGCGGCTTAAAGAGCTGGGCATGTTTAGCCTGAAGAAGAGAAGGCTGAGAGGAGATATGATAGCCATGTATATATATGTGGGAGGAAGTCACAAGGAGGAGGGAGCAAGCTTGTTTCCTGCTTCCCTGGAGACTAGGACACGGAACAATGGCTTCAAACTACAAGAAAGGAGATTCCATCTGAACATGAGGAAGAACTTCCTGACTGTGAGAGCCGTTCAGCAGTGGAACTCTCTGCCCTGGAGTGTCCTGGAGGCTCCTTCTTTGGAATCTTTTAAACAGAGGCTGGATGGCCATCTGTCAGGGGTTCTTTGAATGCAATATTCCTTCTTCTTGGCAGGGGGTTGGACTGGATGGCCCATGAGGTCTTTTCCAACTCTATGATTCTATGTACTGACTGATAGTGTTCTCCACCTCTATCAATGTACTTTCCAGGCCTGAAAACTGAGTAAGGGACTGAGAAGACTGGAGAGAAGGACTCAAGCTGCCCAATGTGGAGGAGGGAGATAAAGGCTGCAAACACTCAAGAACTGCCATTCAAAGAATTTTGGGACTCCTTTTTGTCCGTCATAATTGCTCTCCAAACGCGAATGCAAAAGTCATAGCAGAGACTTGTAGGATGAGGAGGAGATACAAAGCTGTTTGTTAACTTTGTATTCATGTTAATGATGTTACATGATGCCCTTTTCTCGCTTCTCTGGTATGCGTTTAGGATCCTTTCAGAGAAAAGAAGCATCTCTTCCTGCTGAGGAATGTGAGTTGCTTTGTCTGGCTGCCAGGCCTGGCTTGAAGCGCAAATGGGAAAAGCTGGAGTTGGGTAGAGCAAATATTTGCCGGCTAATGGAACACGCAGTTTCCCCTTTAGGCAGCTCCATGAGAGAACTCTCTCCTCCTCAGCTGTTGGCCCCATTTGCAGTCAGCCTTTCCATTCATCCCCACTGAGTGACCTTGCTCCTGGCCTCTCCTCATTCAGGAAAGAGGGGCTGCAACATGATACCAGCTGAAAACGTGCATGTGGTACCAAGCATTTGGATAATCTATCACTGCAATATGTGAATTTGGAATGGTGCAGTGATAACTGGAACAGCCTGGACTATGATATTGGATTATGTGATTTCAATCATTTTAATGTTGAAATGTTTTAAGTGGGTGTTTTAATGTATATGTTTTATTTGCTGGATATGTATTGTATGGCATCGAATTGTGCCTTTATGTGCGCCGCTCTGAGTCCCCTTCGGGGCAAGAAGGACAGGATATAAATATGGGAAATAAATAATATTAGCAATCTGAAAGCCAGGTGCCATCTCTTCTAACCCACCTTGCCTCCCCTAGAGAAGCTAAAATGCGGAGTGGAAGTCAGGCTGTATTGTGGGGGTCTCTGGCTTGGGGTATAATCGAGCTAATCCTGATGGGCTCTTGTAGAGTAAACGACATAGGAAATTGAATGACTTGATGATGGAATTGGACAATGCTTGATAATAAGGAGACGCTAATGATGTTGTTATTATTATTTTATACTGGTTTTATGTTTTAACTTGTTTTATGATATTTGTACTGTTTTGTTGGAAACTGCCTTGAGTCGCCGATTGGCCGAGAAAGGCGGTATACAAATACAGTAAATAAACAAATAAATAAATATTTCTGTCCCTTCTCCAGAGGAGAAGCGGCGCCGGGAGAGGGAGGACCAGATGTACCGGGAGCGCTTGCGCACCCTCTTCCTCATCGCAGTCATCATGAGCCTGCTCAACTCCCTCAGCACTGGCGGAGGAAACATCTCCTGGAATGACTTTGTGAACGAGATGCTGGCCAAAGGGGAAGTGCAGCGGGTTCAAGTGGTGCCTGAAAGCGACATTGTGGAGATCTACTTACATCCCGGAGCGGTGGTCTTCGGGCGGCCTGTGAGTTTCATCCATCTTTTCACCAAGATTAACTAATGCACTCAAATGGCACATTTTTAAAAGGAGAGAATTGCTTATAGGTCAAGCATCAGCATCACTAAATAATCCCCAGGATTAAAGTAATAATAAAAATAGCTTTACCTGAAACTACAAAGTAAAGGAGACAACATTCTTGGAGAAAACGTAATCAAAGCCCTCCTGACAAAGACCCATCCAGCCATAGACATCACACAGAGAGAGATATAGTATCATAGATCTGAAAGGGACCCCTAAAGAAGGACAATTATATGTTTCATGTTCCAGAGTTGTAATGAGAACACTGACAAAGAAACAGCAAGAAATACTGTTTACCCACAAGCATCAAGAAATTACATATATTAGAAACCCACACTTTCTAATTACTTTATTTCCCAGATCACCACACTGGGCCACAGCAACGCGTGGCAGAGGATGGCTAGTAACGAAATAAATAGTATAGGAAGACGATTTTATCCATCAACATTTAAAATACAGGCAAAATGGTCAAGAGGCAGTTCTTTAGGTAGCACGGACCCAAGTCCCTTGGACTCATGGATATTTATAACATTCATTTCAAAGTGGTAAATTATTTCCTTTTGGCCTTTCTCATCCTGCCCCCTGGAATTCCACCTTCTCCACACCAGCATTTCCCCTTGTTTTTGCTATTCCATGTTGTTTTGCTTCCTACCTCTGGCTATATGATTGCCTCTCTTCCTTCCAGAGACTTGCCTTGATGTACAGAATGCAGGTGGCCAACATTGACAAGTTTGAGGAGAAGCTGCGAGCGGCCGAAGACGAGCTGAACATTGACCTGAAGGACAGGATCCCCGTCTCCTACAAGCGCACTGGCTTCTTTGGGAAGTAAGATAATTTGAGGAGATTCTTCCTTTATCGTGATCAGCCACATTAGTACTAAAGACAGTGTCTTTCCCACAACTTAATGGTACAGTAGAGTCTTGCTTATCCAATCTTAGCTTATTCAACATTTCGTCTTATCCGGCGCTCTTATCCGACACGCCCCTTTTCCTCCAGCATTTCCCCTTCAATTAAAGGAGTGCTCCCCAACTCTCTTTCCATTCCCAATAAATGAAAAGGGCAAGACGAGGAGGAGGAGGAGGAGGAGGGAGGAAAGTTGGGTAAAGTGGCAGGACCGGACGTGTCCTCCCTCCTTCCCTCTGTGATTTCCACGCTCCTCTTCCACATGCGGGCACTTCCTGCTGGGCCGCTCTAGTTCTGAGGTGTTGCCTTGCCTTAACCCTTTGCATTCCTGTGGTTAGTATTCTAAGTGTCTAGCACTGCATCAGATGGGTAACAGTAGGCAACTCTGTATTCTCTGACATTTTTGTTTATCCAACATTTATTTATTTATTTATTTACAGTATTTATATTCCGCCCTTTTCACCCTGCAGGAGACTCAGGACGGATTACAATATACATATACATAGCAAACATTCAATGCCATAGACACACAACATATATAAACACACACAGAGGCAATTTAACATTCCAGCTTTTTCTTGAGGGTATTCTGGCCACCAGGGAGCTGTCCCTTCACCGACCATTTGTGACTCTGATAAAGTACTTCCTTATTCTTTGCATGCTTGCTGGAGATTTTTATGGCCTCATAAATTAGTTAAATTTGCCTCCCTGCATAAGCGGTACCTAAATTTCCTACTTACAGATGCAACTGTCTTTTGGACTGCAAAGGTCGACAGCAAGCTACACAAAATTGGTACTTCCTCATTCTTCATTCTTCTGCATGCTGCTGGCATTGTAAATTAGTTAAATTAGCGTCTCCGCATGAAGCAGTACCTGAATTTCCCACTTAACAGATGCAACTGTCTTTCTGGCTGCAAAGGTCGACAGCAAGCCAAACTATTACTGGCTGGGAGCTCACTCTGACCCGGGCTGGCTTCGAACACATGACCTTTCGGTCAGTAGTGATCTTAATGCAGCTGACACCCAGCCAGCTGCGCCACAGTCCCGGTTCTGCTAGCCCATTTCTGTCGGATGAGCGAGACTCTATTGTATAACTTCCTGAGGAGTTGTAAGACTTCTTACACATCTTGTTTTCTGTCCCCCAAAGGTAGTACAGATACTGCTGAGAGAACACGTTGGAGCCTAAGCAAACCTCCCGCACAGTATTATCCTCTGGTTTTTCAAAATAACTTCTGTACTTTTCCCCCATTAAAACAAAGCCAAGGAACCAACGGCCACTGTACCTTTGTCGCACACTGACTCATAGTAGCCCCATGCTGAGCAGAAACCATTTTAATAACAAACCCCCAAATGTCACTGGAGAAGCAAGTGCTCCCATTAAACACCTCGACTTTATTATGCAGAGCCCAGCATCCTTTTGCCAGAAAGATTGCGCAAATGTTAAAGCTTTTAATGTGAATGTGAGGTCAAAGTGGGGATTGTTGGGAAGATGAGAGAAAGGCAGAAAGCAGTGCTTAAGAGACGTGGCGATGCTGCCTTAAAACTTGCTTTGTGGTTTCCACTGAGCAAGAGCCAGCTCCATTTATTTCTCCAGCCTGCCTTTCCACTTCAGCAGCATATTTGTTCCTTGGTTAAAGCTGGTGGCAAAAGTGATTTCTCCCAATATCCTACTGGTGGAACCTTATCTTTCCTGACAAGAACAAGATTGAAAAGAGGCACATAAGCCATTCCAGTGGTGACTTGGGGGATGTCTTGGTTTCACAGCAAGCTTTGCTCCTTATTCTCCTGATCATGTCCTATTGAGAAGCAGCAGCCGCAACAGTGACACATATCTTCCACTGGCTGCACTTGTGCTCCACAAGAACGCTGTTCCTGGAGTTAATGGGAGCAACGCATTAGTGCAGAATGTTGGGTTGCTCCCTTCAGTGCTCAAAATGAGCATTGGAAAACTCCCCTAGTCCAATAGCACGCAGCATCCTCAACATTATTTATTTATTTATTAGTTACAATATTTATAGCCTGCCTTTCTCAGCCATACGGCGACTCATGGCGAGTTACAGATTGGCACAATTCAATGTCAGGCATTCATAAAAGTGCCATTAAAATAATCAACATTACAATATAAAACATATATAAAAGCCATTAAAACATATAATCATCGGTGTCATCCTGTTAAAAATGTTATTCAGTAACATCATCTGGCCATTCCATGTTCGTCATTCATAGTTCCATGTTATCTATTCCATTGCATCCTCAAAAGCTTGCTCAAAGAGCCAGGTCTTTACTTTTTTCGGAAAGTTGGGAAGGAGGGGGCCGATCTAATATCCCCGGGGAGGGAATTCCATAGCCGGGGGGCCACCACTGAGAAGGCCCTGTCCTTCCTCTCTGCCAGTTGCACTTGCGAGCCAGGTGGGATCGAGAGCAGGGCCTCCCCAGAGCTCCTAGATGGTTCATAGGAGAAGATATGTTCGGACAGGCAAGCACTTTGAATTGTGCTCGGTGGCAAATTGGCAGCCAGTGGAGCTGACGCAGCAGAGGAGTAGTGTGTTCCCTGAGCGCTGCTCCTGTTAGTAACCTGGCTGCCGCCCGTTGGACCATCTGAAGCTGCCGAGCAGTCTTCAACAGCAACCCCACGTAGAGCGCATTGCAGTAATCTATTCGGGATGTAACATGATCGTGGACCACCAAGTCAGATTTTACCCCCATGTCCTTTGATTTAAATCAGTGGTTCCCAACCTGTGGGCCACAGCCAAGCAGTGGACTGCGAGAACGAAAATCCAGTCTGCGTACCTCCTTCCTCATTATTTTATTTATTTTATTTCCGCTCCTTTTCACAGAGCTGACCAGCTCCGCTCCTTTTGGTACTAATGTTGGAGAGTGGCCCCTAGTCAATGTGGGCCCTGGTCAGGTGGGCCCTGGTCAAAATATGTTGGGAACCACTGATTTAAATCTATTCTACGTGTGCATACACTAAAGCAGGTTCTTTGTGTTGTAATTCAACCCCACACTGCCCAAGTATCAAGTCCTCAATGAGGAACTGTTTCGTTTAGCTTAGAATAGGCTAAGAGTTTCCCTTTCCCCCTGTGTCCTGAATGACAGTTGGGAATGTATCTAAGTTCGTCTCTCCTCTCTATTTCTGCTTTCATTCTGATTGATTGTTTAAAATGAATACTTTTCTACTGCAAGCTTTTTGAATCTGACTTTCTTAGTATGGAGTGTATGTACTGTGTGCTTTTACATCTCTCTCTGCTTGTGTGTCAGGAGAGATGTTGTGATAGAGTTTTTCCCTCTCTTGATGGGTGTTAGAGTAGCTCAGACCCAGTTCTTGATTATTATGAAATGCAGTTTTTTCTTACTATTGTGAATAAACCTTTTGTGATTTTTGTTAAGATTGGACTCTGCATGTTTGTCTCCTAAGTTCTGAATTCTTTACAGCCACATCACACGGCACTTTGGGCTCTGCTCGCTAATGAGCTGAATGCTCAACTTTTGTGTCCTGTTTGTTTTTGGAGGCTCTGCTATATTTTAGGGTAGTTTTTCCCGAACACTTTGAATACTGCTGTGCTTGAAGTGTGCTGCAAATGCAGAGACCAACTGCAAAGTCCTGAACCTGTATGCAGATGACACCCAACTCTACTACTTGTTTCCACCAAATTCCAAGGAAGTCTCTCAGACCCTGAACCAGTGTCTGATTGCTGTGATGGACTGGATGAGGGCTAACAGGTTGAAGTTTACTCCAGACAAGACAGAGGTCCTCCTGGTCAGTTGTGGGGCCGACCGGGGTATTGGGTGGCAACCTGTGCTTGATGGGGTTACACTCCCCCTGAGGGCACAGGTCCGTAGCTTGGGGGTCCTCCTTGACTCAACGCTGTCACTTGAGGGTCAGGAGTCAGCAGTGGCCGGGAGGGCCTTTGCACAACTCAAACTCATGCGCCAGCTGTGACCATACCTCGTGAAGTCTAACTTGGCCAGTGCGGTCCATGCTTTGGTTACATCCAGATTGGACTATTGCAATGCGCTCTACGTGGGACTGCCCTTGAAGTTGGCCGGGAAGCTCCAACTGGTACAATGGGCTGCAGCCAGGCTCCTTACTGGAGCAAACTATAGGGAGCATACAACTCCCCTTTTAAAACTGCTTCACTGGCTGCCAATAAGCTGCTGAGCCAAATATGAGGTACAGGTTGTGACCCATAAAGCCCTAAACGATTCGGGCCCCACCTATCTTCATGATCGCATCTCCTTCTATGCACCGGCATGAACTTTAAGATCTTCTAGGGAGGCCCTCCTCTCGCTCCCACTACCGTCACAAGTATGGTTGGTGGGGATGAGAGAGAGGGCCTTCTCGGTGGTGGCCCCCCGCCTCTGGAACGCCCTTCCTAGAGAAATAAGACAGGTCCCACCCCTCCCCTCCTTTCATAAGAGCCTGAAGACCTGGTGGTTTAAACAAGCCTTTGAGGATGACTACTTCTAGCTCAGCCCCAGATACTGTTGAATGTGGCCATATCTTTTTCTACCAATTACACAGATTGCTTCCTCCTATTAGGCCTTGGAAATGAACAACCATTGAATCTACCTAATTTCCTGGGCTCTCTACAAATTGCACTAGCCTCGGCCCAGCCTTTTAAATTGCCTTGAACAGGCAGGATTATTTTCAATATATATGTGCTATTGTGATTTTTTATGCTTATATTGTTAATTTTATGTTTATGCTGTTTTCTTTGTATGTATTCATGGTGTTAGTTGGAAACCGCTCTGAGTTCCCTCTGGGAGATAGAGCGGTATTTAAACAAAGTTTTGTTGTTGTTGTTGTTTCCTTTCTCCTCCTCGTTGCAGTGCCCTCTATGCCTTGGGGATGGCCGCCGTGGGCATCGGCATCTTGTGGTACATCTTTCGTCTGGCCGGGATGGCAGGAAGGGAAGGAGGCTTCAGCGCCTTTGTAAGTCGCATTTGCCACGTGTGGGGATGCTTTTTGGGTGGGCCCAACCTCTTTCTTGCCCAGCAGCCGGTGAGAATGAAGCTGCTCCAGCCACGATGCTTCTCCCTCCCAGTGGATGGCTCTCTGCTGCATTTGGTCTGTTTGCGTGGGGCAGTAGGTCCTCCTCTTTTCCCCTCAGCCAGGCAGCTCCTCTCTTGCTGTTTTCAAGACTCTCTAATGACTTGCAGCTGGGAATGGCATTTCTTTCCTCTTTGTCTCGCCAGCAAATCTCACATCCTTCACTTGCTTTCAGCAAAATAGCTTTTTGGGGCCTTTCCTTTAAACACCGCCTAAGCTTTTGGGCTGTGCTGTACGCTGGCCTCTGTGCCTCCGGTCACATGCCGCCTCTCAGCGCCAGCCAAACCCCTGCCGGTCAGTCAGCTAAGGAACGAAAGGCGAATGTGGGCCTGCTTCGGAAGACCTAGAAGAGAAGGAGGCCCTTCAAATGGGCTCCAGTATCAGCTGGGAAGGTGGCCCAATTGGCTTAATCCCATGCTCATGACTTTTTGGAAGCAGCCATCACAGCTTACTCATCCCCTACAGACTCTCAGGGCAACCCTGACTTTTGTGCCGATGCACATTCCAAGCTTACTTACTTACTTAGGCGATCCCTCATTGGCCGAGTAGGATTGTCTTCCAAGATTGATGTCCGTAGGTGACTGTGGAGGCCTATTCTTGATCTGCATCTTCTTCCGCAATGAGGGCATCGGTTTCCAGGTGGGAGGCGGTCTCGGTCGGGGTTGGCTTAATGCGCGTTTCTCTCTTTCACCCTCCATTCGTGCCTCTTCAAATTCTGCAGCACTGCTGGTTACAGCTGACCTCCAGCTGGAGCGCTCAAGGGCCAGGGCTTCCCAGTTCTCAGTGTCTATGCCACAGTTTTTAAGGTTGGGTTTGAGCCCATCTTTAAATCTCTTTTCCTGTCCTCCAATATTCCATTTTCTGTTCTTGAGTTCGGAGTAGAGCAACTGCTTTGGGAGACGGTGGTCGGGCATCCGGACAACTTGGCCGGTCCAGCGGAGTTGATGGCGGAGGACCATCGCTTCAATGCTGGTGGTCTTTGCTTCTTTCAGCACACTGGTATTTCCCCATCTGTCTTCCCAAGAGATTTGCAGGATTTTCCAGAGGCAGCGCTGATGGAATCGTTCCAGGAGTTGCATGTGACGTCTGTAGACAGTCACATTTCGCAGGCATATAGCAGGGTTGGGAAGACAATAGCTTTATGAGCAAGCACCTTGGTATCCCTACAGATGTCCCGGTCCTCAAACACTTTCTGCTTCATTTGGAAAAATACTGCACTCGCAGAGCTCATGCGGTGTTGTATTTCAGTGTCGATGTTGAGTTTGGTGGAGAGGTGGCTGCCAAGGTAGCGGAAATGGTCAACAATTTCTAAGCTGTATTTCTGGCATTGGAGAGGGATGGGCTGGTTACTGCTGGAACAGCACTTTGGTTTTCTCGATGTTCAGTTACAGGCGAGCTTCTCGTATGCTTCTGCAAAGGTGTTTAGAGTGGCTTGTAGGTCTTCTGAATGCGCACAGATGACGTTGTCATCAGCATATTGGAGTTCTATAACATGCTGTTGTAACCTTGGTTTTGGCTTTCAGTCTGCTGAGGTTAAACAGCTTGCCGTCTGTCCGATAGATGATTCCCAATCCATTCCAAGCATGCAGCCTGCTGTAAATGCAGTTGGAAAACCAACATTAGGGGCTCTTCTCAGTGAGGGATAATGAGCGGTTATGTGGAGGCCATGGAGTTAAATGCTTGCTTTATGTGTTGTCACTGTGGTTGAAGAGTAGCTGGCAGACAGTGAGGAGGCCCCTTTTCTGCTCTTTCCCTCTTCACCCCATATTTCTCTCATTGAACAAACCTTTTGGAGTGGCTGTTCAGAAAGATTGGGATACCAGAGAACTCTGCACATGTAATTGTGTAACGGTTGGGCTGCAGCGCATGAACCATAGATGGAGGTTTCCCTCCAGCTCCCTACTCACTGATCAAATAGATAGAGACAGCTGCCAAGTCATTCAAGGCCCAGGGAGGAGAGCAGAAGTGTGAAGGAAAGGGGGACCACAGTCGAGCATTGTCATGTACCCTGTGGACAAGGGCAGCATGACTCAGCGTCTGGACCATCCTTCCTCCAAATTCACAAAAGGCTTTGGTCTTGGCCTTTTTTGACAGAATTTTGTCACCCTGACAGAACCAACTGAAAATGGCTCGCTTCACAATTGTAGATGGCAAATCTGGGAAAGGGATCAGTTTCAAGGATGTGGCGGGGATGCATGAGGCCAAACTGGAGGTCAAGGAATTTGTGGATTATCTGAAGGTAAGAACTGCACATTTAGGGGCTGAAAATAATAATAATAATAATAATAATAATAATAATAATAATAATAATAAAAAAAAAAAAAAAACTGGGCAAGAAATACTGCCATAACACATATTGGGATAGAGCGTATGCCAGTGTAAAGTTGGGTAGCAGTTTAATGCCAGTGACTGATATTTGTCTCTTGCTTGGGGTCATTGCAGGACCTCTTGGGTAGGTTTCCAAGCTCTCAATGAGCACTTGCGATGCTTGCTGTCCTATAGCTAAGAGAGGACAGAGGGAGCATTCTCTGTACCTTCGTACAAGTGGGATAGAGCATCAGTAGAAATTGTAATGGTGCATAGTGAGTGAACCAGTGGGTCTTTCTTAGAATCACTGCGGAGCCTTCTAAAAAATGAAACACAGATGGATTTCTGATTCCAGAGCCCAGAACGCTACTTGCAGCTTGGCGCTAAAGTGCCCAGAGGTGCCCTCTTGCTTGGACCACCAGGCTGTGGCAAGACGTTGTTGGCAAAGGCTGTGGCTACCGAGGCCCAAGTGCCGTTCCTGGCCATGGCCGGCTCTGAATTTGTGGAGGTGATTGGAGGTAAGTTCTGGGGAATATAATAATAATAATAATAATAATAATAATAATAATAATAATAATACTTTATTTATACCCCGCTCCATCTCCCCCAGGAGGACTCAGGGCGGCTTACATGAGGCCACGCCCATCAATACAGTAAACACAATATTACACAAAACCATAACACAATATAACACAAGGCATAGCAGAACTAGAAAACATAAAATGCAAAGTTTCTTAAAGTGATGGGGTAAAGTGGCCTCTTCACTGCCTTCATTAGCAGCTGCTTGAGGGATCCTTTTCCGCTATATTGGAGGAGCCATTATGCAATAGGGCGGTGGTACTTCACCATCAGCATTCACCTGACGTGAAGCACTTGACCAAAAGGAAGGCAGCATAAGCAGGATTTCTGGTATTCAGTCAGGGAGAAACACGGTAGCTGTGCCAGGGCAAAAAAAACCTATGAGGAGATGTGTCCTCCCACAGTCTGTATTAAATTGATCTGATGTCTTAGGAACTCTGTCTTCAGGGCCTGTGAGAACCCTTTTTCAAAGACTTTAGGGCTTTTGCCCCATCATCTGCCAGTAAGCAGCCATGTCCGGTAATAGTTCAATTTGCTTCACTTTGCCCTTTTTGGTCTCTCCAGGCAAAAAGTAGCTCTTCTCTACCTGACTCTGTTTGTCTGTTGCTGAACCAGCAATCTTTCTGGACTCTGAAGGCTCCTCTAATTATATCTGGGAACCTTGGAACTACAACACAATATCCCAGAATACTTGTAGGGTATCAGAACAAACACTATGTGTTTGTTCTATGTAATGAGAAAGTATAACATCAAAAGAGCATATAGTATGCAATTTACCAAAATCCCCAGTACATAGCTCAATTCAGTGGCATAAAGCAAAATCAAAAGGAGCAGCCACTCTCAAACATAACAGTTCTAGGTCTGAACAAAGGTTCCACTGTATATAGGCTTCAGGGATACATTCAGTGGGAAAAATTATTTAAACAAAGTAAGCATTGAGTCATGAGGCTATATGTAGACTGAAGACAATAATGAAGATGGAGCACCACTCTCAAAAAATCTTCATGGATAAAATCCAAATCAAGTCCAGTGAAAATGGAGCGCTGCTTCTCAAAAATAGTCTCCGAAGGAAAAATCCAAATAGCATTCAACAGGGATGCCCGGGTATTTTTGTACCCTGTTTCGGGGAAAGAAATCCCCTTCTTCAGGAGTTGGTATAATCAGCAACTCTAGACTCGTATCTACAACAAAACATAGAGTAACAAGTATTTTCCAGCAAATTTGTAGAACTAAAGATAATCCATATATTAAACATATACATAGTGCCTGATAGCTTTTAGGCTATATACAGTGCAACCCTTATTCAGACCTAGAACTGTTACGTTTGAGAGCGGCTGCTCCTTTTTATTTTGCTTTATGCCACAAAATTGAGCTATGTACTGAGAATTTTAGTAAATTATACTTTCGCATTACATATTTTGTTTTGTGTTTGTTCTGGAACCCTGGAACTAGCCAAAGATGCATTTTTATTTGAGAAAAAAGGGCCCGTCCAGACAGTACCTTTATCCCAGGAGCTTTCACAGCAAACAGGAGGGTGGACAGATGCTGTTCGCTGTAAATGCAGAAGCAATAGCTACAAACGCCAAAAAATGCGAGATTTTCAGGTGTGGGAATATCCCAGTTCTGAGCTGAAAATCCGCATCTTTGCATGTTTCTTTATTTGTATCCTGCCCATATCATGCCATCCTGAGTCCCTCTTCGGAGGTTGAGATAGGACAGGATATAAAAGCCCAAAATAAATATATAAAAATACATACATCGGTAAAAAGCAAAAACATTTAAAACCATAAAAACAATGAATAATAAAAATTATAAAACTATGTATTCTTGTTCAAATCCTCAACCATTCCATCATCTTAGCCGTTCCTAGTTCATTTTCCGATTTGAATTTTCGTTTTTTGTTTTGATCATGCTGTGGTTCCAAAAGCTTGCTCAAAGAGCCAGGTTTTCACTCCTTTTCGAAGGGTCAGGAGGGAGGGGGCTGATCTAATATACTTGGCAGGGAGTTCCACATAAGGGGCCACCACAGAGAAGGCCCTGTCTCTCATTCCCGCCAAAAGTGCTTGTGAAGCAGGCGGGATCGAGAGCAGGGCCTCCTCAGACAATCTCAAGTTCCTAGAAAGTTCATAGCAATGTTTGGATGTCCCTGCGCTTGGAAATCATGGGATTTTTTATCTAGGTTTGTTCCTGGGTTTTACATGTTTGTTCCTGATTGGTCGGTTTCTAAAAATAAGGTGACAGTTGAGTAGAAAGCGAAAACTGTGTTTGTGTGCCAGAAACTTCATAAAACATGTGGAGGGCACATTTTATCTGGCTAGGACAAAGTTGTGGTCCCCTGGTCAACATTATGCATCTTTTCACAATAAGAGAAATCAGGAATAGACATGTATAATGCAGGAACAACACCCTGTCTGCACAGATGGCCCTGCAGCTTATATAACCCAGGAATGGAACTTATACCATGATTTGCATCTTCGCATCTTGAATTTCTTTCTTTTTTTAAAGGGGAGGGGGCGTCCCGCAGTGACCATCTTGTTATTTTGCTATTGTATTCATATGTTTTTTTCCATGTAATTTTGATGCTGTAGCTTGTTGTTTATGTTTTGGTTTTATTTTTGCTGTAATATGTTGTCCGGGCTTGGCCCCATGTAAGCCGCTCCGAGTCCCCATTGGGAAGATGGTGGCGGGGTATAAATAGTATTATTATTATTATTATTATTATTATTATTATTATTATTATTATTATTTTGGGAATCTCTAAATCCCGCAATAAAGCAGCAAGCATGGACAATGGAAGCAGAAATCCTGGGACCAACAAGTCTGTATGTGGACCTCTTCTGAAGTCCCGGGATTTTTTACCCCTGATTAAAAGCTGTGGTATGCTGCTGTCTGGACGTGCCCTGAGTCTTCTCTTTCCCTTTGTTTTCCCTTAGGCCTTGGAGCTGCTCGGGTGCGAAGTCTCTTTAAAGAAGCCCGGGCTCGGGGTCCATGCATTGTCTACATTGACGAAATCGATGCCGTGGGGAAGAAACGCTCCACCAGCATGTCAGGCTTCTCCAACACTGAGGAAGAGCAGACCCTGAACCAGTTGCTGGTGGAAATGGACGGTCAGTTTGACTTTGCTACAAGTGGCTCAGTACTGACGCTTCTTGGCCCTTTGCAAAGGCTTGGAGATCAAGAGAAGCAGCTCGTTCCTTGGTTGTTTTCTTGCTGCTTTAATTGCAAATCTTCCCCTTTCCCCCAAATCCGCTCGCCTGAGACGTGCTGCTTTGTGAGTCCTTTTATGCTGAAACTAGAAAGTGTTGCGGCGGCAGAAGAAACAGACCGGGGACCACGGGATTAGAAGGGATCAGCGGCCTTGCGCTCTCAGGGCTGGCTCCCAACAGGGTCTCCATGGTGAACGCAAGGAGGCATGTGGTGCTCAGGGGTGGATCTGCTGGGGGTTGGGTCTATTTTTGGGAGCACGGCTTCTTCCCACAAGCAAAGCAGCTAATGCTCAGCGTGCGCTAATCTTGCCATAGGAGCCACTTAGCCCATGTGACAGGCCCCCAGCCCTTCTTTCGCCTTGTTTGCTTGCCTCTCTGCAAAACGCACAGTCGGGCCTCCTCCTCTAAAGTTGGTCTGAGCCGCTTCCCAGAAAGAGGAAAAAGCAAGGCCTTGTATGTCTGGGTTCCTGAGGGCTCAGCACAGGTTGCCTATGCTCTATCACCAAAGTGGCCATTTCCCACAAATGTCTTGTTGTTATTATTATTTTCTTGTCATTTCTGCCCACCTAAAGTCACTTTTGTGGACTGAACAGCATTCTTTTTTTAAAAGGATAGTCCTAGAAGATTTTGTAGCTCAAGGTCAATGCCCACCAGACCTTGGGGGCTAGGAAGAGTGTCTCCTTGGACCCACCTGTCCTACAAGATGTGAACTCCAATGTGTCTCCATTGCAGGGATGGGGACCACGGATCACGTCATAGTCCTGGCCTCCACCAACCGGGCAGATATCTTGGACAATGCCCTCATGAGACCCGGGAGGCTTGACCGCCACATATTTATTGATCTACCCACTTTGCAGGTATGAACTTGGCCCGATTCTCCCTTAGTTGGATCTTTAAGTTTGGGATGTTTCTATTTTGGAAAGCAGGGCCCATGAAAAGAAATGTCCACATTTTTTCCTCAGTTGGAACCCCTGAGGAGGCGCGGTTTCAGATGGGTCGCCAAAGACCATCAGAAAACACATATTTCTCATGGTCTTTGGAACCCCTTCGACAGAGAAGGCTGAAGATCTCTCCACCTGTCCTTCTCTTCCGTTTTGGTGTCGGTGAACTACAACTCCCAGAATTCAAAAACAGCCCACCTCAACCAAGTAGTTGCTGGGTTCAGAGTGCTCTTTGATTGTAGGTGAACTATAAATCCCAGCACCTACAACTCCCAAATGTCAAGGTCTGTTTTCCCCAAATTCCAGCAGTGTTCACATTTGGGCATATTGAGCATTTGTGCCAAGTTTGGTCCAGATCCATCATTGTGATTTCTGGATGTAGGTGAACTACAACTCCAAAATTCAAGGTCAATGCCGACCAAACACTTCCAGTATTTTCTGTTGGCCATGAAAATTCTGTGTGCCAAGATTGGTTCAATTCCATCGTTGGTGGAGTTCAGAATGCTCTTTGATTGTAGATGAACTATAAATCCCAGAAACTACAACTCCCAAATGTAAAGGTCTGTTTTCCCCAAGCTCCACCATTGTTCGCATTTGGAAATATTGAGTATCCGTGCCTAGTTTGGTCCGGATCGATCATTGTCTGAGTCCATATTGAACTACAACTCCAAAACTCAAGGTCAATGTCCTCCAAACCCTTCCAGTATTTTCTGTTGTTCCTGAGAGCTCTGTGTGCCAGATTTGATTAAATTCCATCGTTGCTGGAGTTCAGATTGCTCTTTGATTGTAGGTGAACTACCATTCCCAGCAACTACAACTCCTAAATGACAAAATCAATCCCCCATCAACCCCACCAGTATTTAAATTTGGGTGTATCGGACCAAATTTGGTCCAGTGAATAGAAATACATCCCGCATATCAGATATTTATATTATGATTCAGAGCGGTAGCAAAATGACAGTTATGAAGGAGCAACCAAGATAATGTTATGTTTGGGGGTCACCACAACATGAGGAACTGTATTAAGGGGTTGTGGCATTAGGAAGGTTGAGAACCACTGCTCTGTTTGGTTGGCAGACCCTGGACAGAGGGGAGACTCTTCTGCTCCTGTCCTCTCTTCCTGTGTGGACTTCCCAGTCTTCCTTTGGCTGCCCCAGCTTTTTGCTTAAAATACCTGAAATGCCTGATGTGATTTGGCGGCGGCAGCAGCAGAAACGGGAACGATGCAGCTGCCCTGAAGGAGGAAGGCGAAGGAAATCCTGTCAGCGGAGCCCCTTGCTTTAATCAGGAATGCCTGAACCAGCCGCATGAGTCACTCGCTGGCCCACAGCCAAGCTGAGTTAGCCCCCTCCCCCAATATGCCTCTGTCTTCCTTCAAGCTGATGGAGGGGAGGGGGAGACATATGTGAGGCCATACTCTGATGGTAGAAAGGTTAAGGAATAAATCAGGATCAATAGGAAAGGAGGATAGCAGTAGAACTGACCTTTGTGGGGAAGAAGAGCCAGTGACTTCTTGCAAGACTCCTTTCCACCTGCCCTGCATATCTGGATGGAGAATCCTAGAGTTGGAAGAGACCTCATGGGCCATCCAGTCCAACCCCCTGCCAAGAAGCAGGAATATTGCATTCAAAGCACCCCTGACAGATGGCCATCCAGCCTCTGTTTAAAAGCCTCCAAAGAAGGAGCCTCCGCCACACTCCAGGGCAGAGAGTTCCACTGCTGAATGGCTCTCACAGTCAGGAAGTTCTTCCTCATGTTCAGGTGGAATCTCCTTTCTTGTAGTTTGAAGCCATTGTCATAGTCTCTAGGGCAGCAGAAAACAAGCTTGCTCCTTCCTCCCTATGACTTCCTCTCACATTTTTATACATGGCTACCATGTCTCCTCTCAGCCTTCTCTTCTTCAGGCTAAACATGCCCAGCTCTTTAAGCCGCTCCTCATGGGGCTTGTTCTCCAGACCCTTGATCGTTTTAGTCGTCCTCCTCTGGACACATTCCAGCTTGTCAATATCTCTCTTCAATTGTGGTGCCCAGAACTGGACACAGTATTCCAGGTGTGGTCTAACCAAGGAAGAATAGAGCATGGGTAGCATTACTTCCCTAGATCTAGACCAGGGGTCCTCAAACTTTTTAAACATAGGGCCAGGTCACAGTCCCTCAAACTGTTGGAGGGCCGGATTATAATTTGAATAAAACATGAATGAATTCCTATGCACACTGCACACATCTTATTTGTAGTGCAAAATATACTTTAAAACAAATTAATAATTAAAACGAAGAACAATTCTATCAAATATAAACTTATTAGTATTTCAATGGGAAGTGTGGGCCTGCTTTTGGCTGATGAAATAGGATTGTTGTTGTTGTTGTTGTTTGCCTTCAAGTCATTTCAGACTTAGGTTGACCCTGAGCGAGGGCTGGGTAAATGACCTTGGAGGGCTGTATCCGGCCCCCGGGCCTTAGTTTGAGGATCCCTGATCTAGACACTATGCTCCTATTGATGCAGGCCAAAATTCCATTGGCTTTTTTGCCGCCGCATCACATTGTTGGCTCATGTATACTACAACTCCAGAACTCAAGGTCAATGCCCACCAAACCCTTCCAGTATTTTCTGTTGGTCATGGGAGTTCTGTGTGCCAAGTTCGGTTCAATTCCATCATTGGTGGAGTTCAGAATGCTCTTTCATTGTAAGTGAACTATAAATCCCAGCAACTACAACTCCTAAATACAAAATCAATTCCCAAATTTGGTCAAGTAAATGATAATACATCCTGCAGATCAGATATTTACATGACGGTTCCTAACAGTAGCAAAATTACGGTTATGAAGTAGCAACGGAAATAATGGGGGTCATCACAACATGAGGAACTGGATTAAAGAGCGGCAGCAATAGGAAGGTTGAGCTCTTCTTTATCTTACTTGAGTTTTAATTAGTTCTAATCAGGTTTTTTTTCTTTTAAATTTTACATGTAGCCCGCCCATTGTCCCTGTGATTGTGTTTATTGTAATTTTATACCGTTATGTTTTCATATGTTTTATGTAATTATGATGTTATTGTTTGCTGCCTGCGTTTTCGGGTTGCATTTTTGGTTTTATGCTGCTGTAATTTGTGTTTGGGCTTGGCCTCATGTAAGCCGCACCGAGTCCCCGTTGGGGTGATGGTGGCGGGGTACAAATAAAGATGATGATGATGATGATGATGATGATGATGATGATGATGATGATTTGAACCCTAATATCCCAATTTGCAAATCCACTGATTTTATTTTTTCAGGAGAGGCGAGAGATCTTTGAGCAGCACCTGAAGGGTCTGAAACTCTCCCAGACTGGAAGCTTTTACTCCCAGCGCTTGGCTGAGCTCACACCAGGATTCAGTGGTATGTGTGTGTGTGGGGGGATGGGAGTTCGCCTCGCATGTCATACAGTTCAGTCCCTGCCGCCACTCGCTTTTGTCATGCGTGGCTTCTCAGCTTCCATCCAGTGGGACACAACTGGATTCTGCCAACCACTGAGCGAAAGGAGAGCCAAAGCCACTCTGAGTTGTGGTTGTGCTGTGTTAAATGTGACATGCAAACAACACAGTCCCAATCAGTATATATTGCAGAGTGGGGAGGGAGAGCTAATGGCACACCGTTTGTGGCATCCAGATTTCAGTGGCATTTCTGAGGTGGGAAAATTTAGTGACTGGAAATCAGTGCAGTGATTTAGAGCAGAGCTTCTTAAACCTTTCCACTTGGGCATCTTTTCAGCCGAAGTAATGTTTACGCGATCTCAGATATATAGGTATAGAAAATAGGTATTGAAAAAATCAAATATTTACTGGTAACAAGTCAGCATTTACTTAAGGCTTGCTGAACAGGCAGGTGTTCCTCTTTATGAAGTATTAGCTTGGGTACCTGGTGATGCCCAAATTATTTGAAAAAGGCGTTGTTTATTTTGGAGTGTTACATAATATTTATTTATTTATTATTTATTTATTTGCTGAATTTGTATACCACCTTTCTCAGCCCGTAGACAACTCAAGCTGGTTAACAGGGCAAAATTCAATGCTTACAATGTCATAAATACAATTAAAAACATAACATATAATAAAAACTAAAAAAATCAATAAAATATAAATTCATAGTGTCTCCTTGTTAGAAACATTGTCCAGACTCATTGTCGTTCCATTTTCCTGTGTCAGTTACTCTGCATTTGGAAATGCTTGTTCAAAAAGCCACGTCTTGACTTTTTTCTGGAATGTTAAAAGGGAAGTGGCCAATCTAATATCTATAGGAGGGTGTTCCACAGCCAAGGGGCCACCACCGAGAAGGCCCTTTCTCTCGTCTCCGCCAAATGTACTTCTGACAAAGGCATTAACGAGAGCAGAGCCTCCCCAGATGATCTTAAGACAATATAATTTAGTTAATTAATAACACTATTAAAAAAAGCCAGTCTTTGATTTAGTTTTTTATGAACGCTCCCATTAGAAAAATCAGAATGATGTGGATTAACTACAATACCCGGAATCACGGGTCAGTCGTCCCCAAACCGGGCCTGCAGGCACAGCTGACCATGTTGCATCTGTGTGCCAAGTTTGGTCCAGATCCATCATTGGCTGGGTTCAGTGCTCTCTAGATAAGGGTGAACTACAACTTCCATATGCAAAGGGCCATCACCACCAAACCATGCCAATATTTACAGTTGAGTCTGTGTGCCAAGTGGTCCAGATCCATTATCAAAGGGGGTCACAATGCTCTGCCTTGATGCAGGGTAAACTACAACTTCCACCCTGTTGAGTTAGTCCCCTAAACCCCTCCAGTCTCTTCAGTTGTGATAAATTCCTCTCTGTTTGCTGTGTGCCATAGGAAAGGGTAGGGACGAGTTAAGGGAGAGGCAGTGGGTGTGGTCATGCAAATTCCACACAAGGAACCCTGGGATGCCTGCCTGTGGTGGAGGAAACATGTCAAATCTAGGATTAAATGGTCCTGGAATGAAAGCATTCCTTGGGTGGTGGGATAGAGTTTGGGGAGGACATTGGCAGCATTTGGGTTACATGTTCATGGCGTTCGCTATAATGTGCAATGTTAGTGGAGGGAGTGGCTTTGGAGGCTTCTCAGCACTTGGGACTATTGCCAGTTTGTGGAGGCAGGAGGCTCTCTGTGTAAGTGGACACCTCCACCACATACACGCTTTTCACTTTTATTATGTAGACTAGCCGTCCCCTTCCACGCATTGCTGTGATCCACATGGGGGTTCTGTGGGGAGGTTTGGCCCAATTCTATCGTTGGTGGGGTTCAGAATGCTCTGTGATTGTAGGTGAACTATAAATCCCAGCAACTACAACTCCCAAATGTCAAGATTCTATTTTCCTCAAACTCCACCAGTGTTCACATTTGAGCATATTGAGTATTCGTGCCAAGTTTGGTCCAGATCCAACATTGTTTGAGTCCACAGTGATCTCTGGATGTAGGTGAACTACAACTCCAAAACCAAAGGACACTGCCCACCAAACCCTTCCAGTATTTTCTGTTTGTCATGGGAGAACTGTGTGCCAAGTTTGGTTCAATTCCATCGTTGGTGGGGTTCAGAATGCTCTTTGATAGTAGGTGAACTGTAAATCCCAGCAACTACAACTCTCAAATGACAAAATCAATTTTTTGAGTGAAGGACATACATTGGATTGTTAGATGTCTTTTGTCCAAATTTGGTGTCAATTCATCCAGTGGTTTTTGAGTTATGTTAATCCCACAAACGAACATTACTTTTTATTTATTTATTTATTTATTTATTTATTTATGTATGTATGCATGTATGTATGTATGTATGTATGTATTTAGATAGATAGATAGATAGATAGATAGATAGATAGATAGACAGACCAATAGACCGATAACTGAAGCACTTCCTGCAGAATCCACTATAAATGCTGCACAACAAGATTCATGTAAATGTCTAAATCAGCCACTTTAGAAACCTTTTACTGTTGCCAATTTTTTCAGGACCCCAGCATTGAGCTAAGCCCTTTTGGGATCAGGGTCCACAGTTTAAGAAACACTGATTTAGAGGAAGCTTTCTTTGATAATTGCTACCCAAATAACAGATCCATATAGTTTTTCTTTGCATGAAGGGAAAGGGCCAGTCCTGCCTGCTTTCTGAGCCCCCACGTCTGTCTGGAAGCACAGAACGGAGCTGCTGGGCCCCAGGCGCTGGGCTTCCTGTTTGTGCAAAGACCTGGAGGATCCCACACACTCTTCCTTCCTTCCCTCCCTCCTTCCCTCCGTTGGGCCCCTCTTTGCCTCTTCCAGGGCTCCTTTGAGCAGCCTCCACACGCCACCCACGCACACAAATGCAAAACAGATGTGCCTTCTCCTCCCCACAAAAAAAGTGTGTAGTTGTGGTCAAAGAGACCCATGGGCCAGGCCTCATCCAGCCTAGGTGACCCTCGCCCTCCTGCTCAGCCAGGAAGTTCTGCCTGGTTAACCCATCACTCTCCTTTGCACAAATAGCAACACAAATAACATTCTTTCTAAGACCAATACATAGCCTGCTTTATGCAGGAGGAGCTGGATAGTCCTGTTTGAAGGACTATCCAGCCCTGAGCAATCAATCTTGGGTGTGTAGTTTTCGAAAAAGCAAAAGAGACCCTTCTGTGTCTCAACAATACAGCTAGAAGGAATAAAAAGGGGGTGCACAAGTGAGGGCTTTGTAGAGGCCCCTTGTTTTTAAGTTCACAGACTCCCCCTTGTGACTTCTTAGATGTCGTTGTTGACTTCAGGAAACTTCCTCAAAGTGTCTGTCTGTCTGTCTGTCTGTCTGTCTATCTATCTATCTATCTATCTATCTATCTATCTATCTATCCACATAATAAAAATGAAAAATGAAAATGTGTATGTGTGTATGTGGCGGAGGTGTCCACTTACACAGACAGCTTCCTACCTCCACCAACAGCTATAACAGTGCTGAAGAGCCACCAAAAGCCCTCCTTCCAAAGTTATTTCAGGTTACAGCTGATGCCATGAACATGTAGCTCAGGAGCAACCAATGGCCCTCCCTCCAATGACATTGCATGTTATAGTGAGTGCTGTAAACATGTATAAGAGCCCTACCAAAATCCTCCCCAAACACCATACTGCCCACCATCCAAGTGAAGCCTTTCATTCAGGAACAAGTTCCTCCAGAAAAACAGAACATGTAGGAAGGCATCCCAGGGTCCCTTACTCTTTCCATTGCTGTGGAATTTGCATGATCTCGCCCACTGCCTCTCCCTTAACACTTTCCTACCCTTTCCTATGGCACACAGCAAACAGAAACCGATCATCAACTGAACAAAAGGTTTGGAAAGAGTTCTCCATGATTTAGAGGAGATAAAACTTGGCACAGAAAAACCCCATGGACATACCGCTGGGGTTTGTGGGAATTGACCTTGATTTTGGGAGTTGTAGTTCACCTGCATCCATAGAGCACTGAACCCGGTCTGAGTCCCTCTACGGAGGTGAAAAGATCGGGATATAAAAGTTTTAAATAAATAAAACTTTTATAAGTTATTTATATATAACTTTTATAAGTTATAAATAAATAAAACCCAGCCAATATCGGATCTGGACCAAACTTGGCACACAGATGCAACATGGCCAACTGTGTATATAGGTCTGGTTTGGGGACGACTGACCCATGTTTTTGGGAATTGTAGTTCACCCACATCCTTATGCATTTTCTAATGAGAACTTTCATAAAACACCTCAAAGACTGCCTTTTTAAATAATAATAATAATAATAATAATAATAATAATAATAATAATAATAATCTAAATGATATTACCTAACACCCCAGAACAAACAATGCATATCTTGGGTACCGCCTGGTACCCAAGATAGTTTTACTATAAAGCAAGGCACACGCACCCCAAATAGAAATCAGAAACAGGTTTTTGGAGGTTGCTGTTGTCTTCTTGCAATAAGGAAATAACTGGAGCTTAAGATAGCGCAGGGTGAAACCAATCAATTTGGGAGTCTAGGCACATTCATCCCAGGGTCCGACTAGTTGTATTTTGGGCATAAAATTTATTCAAGCAATGTCTGTGGATAAGATGGTTTGCCTTTTCCTAGCCTAGTTGGTTTTGCTTGCCAAAGTCCCCTGGAATCACTGCCTTGTCTAGAAGTCCCTCACTCCCTGAGTACAATGAAGTTGAGATTGCCTATTTTTCCATCTGTAGGAGCCGACATAGCCAACATCTGCAATGAGGCAGCCCTCCATGCTGCCAGGGAGGGTCATAAGTCCATCCATACCTTCAATTTTGAGTACGCTGTGGAGAGAGTCATTGCAGGTGAGGTTTCTTTTTCTGGTGCATTTTTGGTTTGCCTTCTTGCATCCTGACTGCATGACAAGAGTTCTCTCATGGAAGGAAGCAACCCGAGTGTGGCCGTTGTGACCTACAAGAGCAAAGCAATTGGAGATTAGTCTGTTTAGCTACAAAATGGATAGCGATGAAATTCAATGTCCTGGCAGCATTATCTGTTGTGGAATTCTGCATCAAGGAGGCAATTTCGGTTGGGTGAGTGGGCTTACTACCGAAAAGCCCTTCTCATAAATTTACAGCAGAATAACTTAGCAGCACCAGTAGCCCAAAGTCATAAAAAGAACAAAAACACACAGGCCAATATTGGTGTTGGAGTTCAGCCTGTGACTGTGTTTAATTATCAGGGCACTCTGGATGTTGGGAATGACGATGACAATGCTGTTTCTAATGATGAGGGTGCTTTAGATGCAGAGAGTGACAATGAGATTCCTGTTCAAAGTGTCTTTGCTGATGAGAATGTTCCTGAAGAGTTGGGAATGATGGGATGGTCTCGAAGAGGGCCTGAATTGCTACCAGAGAATTCCCAGGTCTTTGAGCCTGAGAAAAGCTCGGCACCTGGCCCAGCTGCAGAAATTAATGAGCCAGTAGATAGAAGGCATTTTTTTTCAGACAGAATAGAATAGTTCAACTATCTCTTCGGCGCTCTGCCAGGTTGAGAGAAAAATTGATAGCTGAATAGAAACAAATATCTGGTGGGGATTTAGAGTAGATTAGGGGATAAAAGTGCCAAGTACAGAATCTGAGGTCAGACGAAGCAACGTTGGAACTGGATCAAGACGTAGTGGTAAACTTGCAGTCTTGCCTTGGAAAGATTCAAGTTATACCTTGTTTGATTTCATGATTTGAAGTTTACCTTGGCAGTTTCTGTGTGGATTTTTTCATGTACTTTGATGGATTTATTTCCTGGATTATTTGTTCCTGTTTATCTTTCTACCTACTTGGATTTACCTATTTCTTTGGAGTGTTTTTACTGCTAATCCTTTTTTTAAATTACCTAGAATAAACTGCTTGCATTTTCACTCAGCTGTGTGGTGTTTTTAAGTCAGAGGGCTTCTTCCTGGCCTGGAATGCAACAGTTATCTCTTCCTTAGGAGGCTTTTCTTTATATAGAAAAATAATATGTTTGCACTATTTTCAAGAACAAAGTTTCCATAACACAAATAAAGTTCCTTACACTTCCTTCTTTGCTTCCACACTGGGCTTCTTTCTCATGCAGATAAATAGCTTCGCTCTCACAGAGCCTCCTCTCACACCAAACTTACACAGGAGCTTCACACAGTAACCTTTTACACACAGCGGCTTTCACAATGGAACTTCACACACGACGGCCTTCAACCTGGGGCTTCTGTCATTGAAGCTTCTTACACCAGACATTCTCGTACTGAGGCCTGGGAACACTGAGGCCTACAAACACTGAGAGCTCTCTCAGAGTGATGCCGTTCTCCCACTGAGGCAAACTAACACTGAGGCCTACTCCCACAGAGACCTCTCACAGACTGAGGACTCTATCAGACTGAGGGCTACTAAGCTACAGGCACACCTCCTTATATTGAATTGCAGCTTTTGCTGAGTCATTGCATCCATTTAACCGTTTCAGTGCTTGATTCACATTTTTGTAATTAAAACTACCTAGTTAATTTTTAATATTTGTGACAATTTCAATATCTCAATGAGAGCAGAGAGGCTCATATTTTATTTCCTCTCCTGCCTTTTCCTAGGAACTGCCAAGAAGAGCAAAATCCTGTCGCAGGAGGAGCGGAGGGTCGTTGCATTTCATGAGTCAGGTCATGCGCTGGTTGGCTGGCTCCTGGAGCACACTGAGGCTGTGATGAAGGTAAGCCACTGAATCTCTTTTTTAGAGAGAGAAAGTGGGATACGGAGGTCGAGGAGGAGTCTGCTGCCTCTCCTTAGCCTGGCTATGGCAACCTGGTGCCATCAGGAGGTGCACTGACGTCCCTGCTCTCCTCTCTTTCCTGTCACAGGTTTCCATTGCTCCTCGCACCAATGCTGCCTTGGGCTTTGCCCAGATCCTGCCAAAGGACCAGTACCTCTTCACCAAAGACCAGCTCTTTGAGCGGATGTGCATGGCCCTGGGAGGGAGGGTTTCAGAAGCCATCACTTTCAACAAAGTCACAACAGGTGAGGGAGACCCTTGGCGAGGCGTTGGCTCCTTAAACCAAGGAAGCAGGATAATTGCTCCACCTCTGCAGCATCTTGGGATCCTGCTTCCTTCTCTTCTTAACTGTACAGAAAATAATAATAACTTTATTGTTTATCCTGCCTCCGTCTCCCCGAAGGGACACCGGGGCGGCTTACATATGGCCCAAAGTGCCTAAAACAATGCATAAAATAAACACTAGTACAATACAAAAATAAAACGAATAGTATATAAAACAATAATTTAAACTCATAAAACATGACCAACTGTAAACAAAAACAAGGGAATGGGATAGTGCAAGTTGTAGCTAATGAAGAAGGGCATGGGATGAAAGTGCAGTTCCGTGTCATTAATAGTGAACCGTTGGGGCTACATGTCCTCAAAGGTTTGTCCAAACATCCAAGTCTTCAAGTCCCTCTGGAAGGAGTAGAGTGTGGAGAGTCTCCCTGGGGAGGGTGTTCCAAAGCCAGGGGGGCACCACTAAGAAGGTCCTCTCCCTCATCCCCACCAACTACACTTGTGACGGTGGCAGGACCCCGAGGAGGGCCTCCCCAGCAGATCTTAACACTCGCTCAGGAACATAGGGGAGGATGCAGTCTCAAAGATAGGTAGGGATCGAACCGTTTAGGCCTTTGTAGATGATAACCTGCACTTTGAATTGGGACCAGAAACTTATCGGCAACCAGTGGAGCCCTTTTAATAGGGGTGTTACCCACTCCTTATAATTTGCTTCAGTTAGCAACCTGGTTGTCAACCTTTGCACCAGCTGCAGTTTCCGGGCCGTCTTCAAAGGCAGCCCCACGTAGAGTGCATTGCAGTAATCCAACCTGGATGTGACTAAGGCATGGATCACTGTGGCCAAGTCAGGTTTCTCGGGGTATGGTTGCAGCTGGCGCGCAAGTTTTAACTATGCAAAAGCCCTCCCGGCCACCACCGACACCTGAGCCTCAAGCTTCAACGCTGAATCTAGGAGGACGCCCAGACTGCGGACCAGTGTCCTCAAGGGGAGTGTTATCCCCTAGAGCATAGGATGCTACCCTAGACCTTGGCTCCCCGTGCCCTCTTGCGACTGACCAGGAGGACCTCTGTCTTGTCTGGATTAAGCTGCAGTTTGTTAGACACCCTTCCAGTCCATCACAGCGGCCAGGCATTGGTCCAGGATCCAGGGAACTTCCTTGGAATTCAGTGGAAAAGAGTAATAAAGTTGAGTGTCATCTGCATAGAGATGGCACTGAATTCATAACCTCACCCAACAATTTCATGCAGATTCTGAAAAGCATGAGAGACAGAATGGAACCTTGCGGGATCATAGGTCAATGGCCAGGGGTCCGAGCAGGTGTCCCCTGGCTTTAACATCTGGGTGTGATCCTCCAGGAAGGAGTGCTCCCAAGACCCATTCTGGAGAGCTGCCCCAGAAGGATACCATAGTCGATAGTATCAAAAGCTGGAAAGTCTGTAAGTTGCTTCAAGTCTCACTGGAGCCCTGTACAAGAAGAGATCCAGTCGTATGTTACAGCAGCTCCACTGGCTGCTAGTCCCCTTCCAGGTTAAATACAAAGTGCTGGTCAGTACCTTTAAAGCCCTAAATGGCTTGGGTCCAGGCTACTTGACTGGCCACATGTCCTCCTACAAACCAACTTGGGCACTGCAGTCAGTGAAGGAGGCCCTGCTCTCGGTCCCACCCCCATATCAATCCCTAAAGAAATAAAAGTGGCCCTCTCCCTCCTCTCCTTCAAAAAAACAACTGAACACTCACATTTGCTCACTAGCATATGGAGAAGAGGAGGATTAGACAATGAGAGATCACTACCGGACCTCTGGTTGAGAATTATTTTGTATCCGGGCTCTGCTAATCCATGTTAGCCCAGATATCATCACTGGCCACACAATCACACTGGCCACAAAATCAGCTCACACAATGTTGTGAACGATAGTTGGCTTCTGTAGATCAATATGAACTGCTTTCAGTTCAGATTTTACATCATTATATCATTTTTGTTTGATTATGTTTTGCTTTAATCTATTGATGTCAGGTTATAAATGTTGTTTTTATATGTGGTTTTTTTTTGGGGGGGCGGGCGGGCGGGCGGTATGATATTGATATTTGTTTTATGGCGACATTGAATGTTTTATTACTGTGTGTTGGAATCCGCCCTGAGTCTCTCTGGGGAGATAGGGCGGAATATAAAGTATTATTATTATTATTATTATTATTGTTATTGTTATTATTATTAGAAACACAATAAGATAAATCCACAGCAGACACTCTGCTGGCTGTTGTATTGGATCACACATCGGACACTTCCCAAGTGTCTAGGACTGTGTGATGTATCGGCGAATAATGCGTGCAGACCCCAGTAAGGTGGCCTTTTGCAGCTGGCAGATGGTAATTTTGTCAGCGCTGATTATGTTTAAGTGCAGGCCAAGGTCTTTAGGCACTGCACCCAGTATGCCAATCACCACTGGGACCACCTTGACTGGCTTATTATTATTATTATACTGACACAAAAATACAATATGTCACAACAAATGAGATCTATATGCTGGATTTCATATTATAAAATCACAAGTTGAACACTTCCCAAGCGTCTAGGACTGTGTTATAATAATAATAATAATAATTATTATTATTATTATTATTATTATTATTATTATTATTATTATTATTATTATTTAGAGAGAAAAAGCAGGATATAAATAAAAATAACATTATAGTCGTCATAGAAATAATAAGTTTATGAGTGCCACAGAGGAGCGATGGCCTTGACACTTCAGGTTTTTCTTCCCTTACATGTCCCTGTCCTCCTGCTTCTCTCTTCAGGAGCCCAAGATGACCTTAGGAAGGTAACCAAGATTGCCTATTCAATGGTTAAACAATATGGGATGGTTCCCAACGTTGGGTACCTCTCCTTCCCGGATGCAGAAAGCACCCCAGGGATTGGTCGGCGCCCCTTCAGCCAGGGACTCCAGCAAATCATGGACCATGTAAGTCCCCGTTTGGGCCTCAAAAACACCACGCTTTCTCCTTTTCAGCTTGCCAGGGTTCCTCTTTGTTAACCCTCTGTGTGGCTGTAATTGTTGACTCAAAACGCATCTGCTTTTGGGTCATCGCCCCTCAGAGCAGCCTTTGTTGAACCTTGTCAGCAAGAAGCCAAGGAGATTAGAGGAGGGGGATTTTGCAAAGTGTCCAGGATTTGAGCAACTGAAAGGAGGCAAGCAGCCGATCCCTGGAGCCCAGCTGGAGACCGTCCCATGACTTCCCTGTATATTTTTATTGCTCATCTGCCGCTTGCATCTGCACTGTGTTTCTTGGACGCTTTCTGCCTGACCTCCGATGTTTCCTGGCCCAGGAATTAAAGAAATCTGATGTGTTCGCTCCATGGAGCGATTCCGTAGAAGAAACAACAACAACTGTTTTTCTATCTTGCCTTTTCCCCTAAAGTGAGGACTCAAGGCAACTTACAAGTTTAAACAAGGACAATATAGGTAAAATATCCAAAAGGGCAACAACAATAGAATGAAATTAGACTATTAACCACTCCACAAACAGTTTTATTTTTGCTGACTTGAAGAAAACCTGCTCCTTGCCTTTCTAAGGCAAGTCAGAACTAGGCCTGGCCACTTTCTACCCAAGTGCCCAGCACAAAAAGGCAGCTACGTAGACTTAGTGCTGTCTAGCCCTTCATTAAACATAGTCATCTTCCATTTTTAAAAGTCACCTAGCCTCCCGGTCTTTCACTAGAGAGCTGTGACGCTGAAGCTCAGGATCTTCATTAGAAGAGTCTTCAATGTTGCTATGTTTCGCAAGGTGTTCTTTTGACTTTTGTTTCCCGCATAGGAAGCAAAGATGCTGGTGGCTCAAGCCTACAGGCGCACGGAGAAGCTTCTGCTGGACAACCGGGACAAACTCCGGATGGTGAGGTTTATTTTCCCTTTAACATTAGACAGCAGGAAAGTTAAGGTTGGAAGGAAGAGGCTGAATGGGTGGAGAGAGTCTAGAGCAGGGGTCCTCACACTAGGGGCTAAGGGACGAATATGGCCCTCCAAGGTCATTTACCCGGCCCTTGCTCAGGGTCAACCTAAGTCTTAAAAGACTTGAAAGTAGACAACAACAACAACAACAATCTTATCAGCCAAAAGCAGGTCCACGCTTCCCATTGAAATATTAATAAGTTTATCTTAACATTAGGAGCCCCCGGTGGCGCAGTGGGTTAAAGCACTGAGCTGCTGAGCTTGTTGATCGAAAGGTCGCAGGTTCGATTCCAGGGAGCGGCGTGACCTACCGCTGTCAGCCCTAGCTTCTGCCAACCTAGCAGTTCGAAAACATGCAAATGTGAGTAGATCAATAGGTACCGCTCCGGCGGGAAGGTAACGGCACTCCATGCAGTCATGCCGGCCACATGACCTTGGAGGTGCCTACGGACAACGCTGGCTCTTTGGCTTAGAAATGGAGATGAGCACCACACCCCAGAGTCAGACAGGACTGGACTTAATGTCAGGGGACTACCTTTACCTTTACCTTTATCTTAACATTATTCTTCATTTTAATTATTGTATTGTTTTTAAGTGTTGTTTTGTACTACAAATAAGATATGTGCAGTGTACATAGGATTCATTCATTTTTTTTCAAATTATAATCTGGCCCTCTGTTTAAAAAGTTTGAGGACCCCTGTACTATACCATTATATTGTAATATTATTACAAATATTACATGTAATATAAAACATATAATTATAATATATTATTAGTATTATATTGCATTACATTATAATATTATAAGTATTATATGTATATACAATATATTATATTATATTATTAACACAGCACAGGAGACAAGATGGAACTGTCCTCTGGCCCTCCCTCTTCCTTCAGCCAGTAGGAGCCTGGGCTGCATAGTTTCCTGTATCCCACTCCCCTTTTTTGTCCCTCCCCCTTTTTTTTTTTTTTTTTTACATCCCCTCACTTTCTGCGACCTTTTCCTTGTCTAGCTGGCGGATGCCCTCCTGGAGAAGGAAGTCATCAACTATGAGGATATTGTGGACCTGATCGGGCCTCCTCCGCACGGCCCCAAGAAAATGATCAGCCCTCAGAGCTGGATCGAAGCAGAGAAGGATAAACAGGATGTGGGAGAGGAGGAGCCCCCCCAGCGGCCCCGGGGCCCAGAGGAAGAGGAGGAGGAACGCAATCTCAGGCCGGTCTGAAACTAGAAGGCAAGAAGAACGCCTCCTTCCTAGATAATGGCTCCTCATCAGGCCAGATCATGATGCACATGAGTTATGGGTCCCTCCCTCTCTTTTTTGCACCATTGTCGTTTCTCTGGGCCACCAGATGAGGCTCCTGCGAGAGTGCGCAGGGCCAGACCTTGATCCATGACGGGCCTCCGATGGCCACAGGTCTCTGCTTTGTGTTGCCAGCCACAACTTGGCTGATCCTAAACATGCCTTTGTCTTTGGTACCAGGGCTCCAGCCTTTCTCTCTTTCTTTTTAATGCATCTCCTGAGGAGTAAAAGCTCTGCAAAGCCTCGGAGGTGGTATGAGCTGTCTGAACATAAACCTGACGGTCCTCCAAGACTTAACTTGGGAAGGGAAGAGCCTGCAAGCCTTTGGGGATAAACTGCTTCGTTATAGAGGCGTTTGGACTGATCCTGTGTCCAAAACAATTGTGGCTGGGTCTGAGAGGTGGGATCTGCAATGAACAGCTCTGTTTGTGTGTCTCGGAGAGAGAGTATCTGCTGCTACTACGTGCATTATCTTCCTCGATCCCTGCCCCCCCCCCCTTTTTTTTAAGGAGGATTATTTCCAGGCGGATTATTGTCTGTATCCCTGAACGACCCTTGTCCAGATTCTCCTCCTGCCAACATGCAATTTGTAATTCTCAGGGCTTCCTCTCCCAAAGCCCTCCCTTGTGCTGGGATTGTGATTGCGTGCGCTTCCTCACTCCTCACTCACGTTCCCTCCCTCTGCCTCTGAACTCCCCGGCGGTTGTTTCGGAGAGCAGCCAGGACTCTCCATGGCCTCCGCAGCGGTTTGCGTCTACCACCTAGCGGCCTCTCAAGACACCTACAAGCAAGTTGTTCATTCAATACCAAATATCTAGATCCTGAATTATTGTGGGTGTAATTTGCAAGCCATCCCTATATTCCCAGTCCCATTGGTACTGGGTTTGTTTTAGCAAAGGAATGGCAAATGCTTCAAATGTTGCCACATCGTTTGGAAGGAAATTCAGGATTGTGGAAGTGATTGAATCGGTTCAGGTCATCTATTGGTCTTATTATATTATATTATTAATTGACTTCCTGTCTGTCTTAGATGACTTGTTTGTGAAGAAAATAAAGTTAAAAAAACATGCTGGTGGTCAATTCGAATTCTGTTCAAAGGGGTATTTGCTGAGATGCTCTACCTTGCTTACATTGTTGTGCTCTTCAAAGTCCTTTCTGGGTTATGGCAACCTTGTGGTGAGCCTCTCACCAGGTTTCCTTGGCAAAATGTACTCAGGAGACAGGTGTGAATGTTGCAATTAATCACTTTGATTAGCATTGCAAAGCCTTGCAGCTTCAATGTGATGTGGCAGCAAAAAAAGCCAATGGGATTTTGGCCCGCATCAGTAGGAGCATAGTGTCTAGATCTAGGGAAGTCATGTTACCCCTCTATTCCACTTTGGTTAGACCACACCTGGAATATTGTGTCCAATTCTGGACACCACAATTCAAGAGAGACATTGACAAGCTGGAATGTGTCCAGAGGAAGGTGACTAAAATGATCAAGGGTCTGGAGAACAAGCCCTATGAGGAGCAGCTTGAGGAGCTGGGCATGTTTATCCTGAAGAAGAGAAGACTGAGAGGGGATATGATAGCCATGTATAAATATGTGAGAGGAAGCCACAGGGAGGAGGGAGCAAGCTTGGTTTTTTCTACTTCACTCCGAGACTAGGACGCGGAACAATGGCTTCAAACTACAAGAAAGGAGATTCCATCTGAACATGAGGAAGAACTTCCTGACTGTGAGGGCCGTTCAGCGGTGGAACTCTCTGCCCCGGAGTGTGGTGGAGGCTCCTTCTTTGGAAGCTTTTAAACAGAGGCTGGATGGCCATCTGTCAGGGGTGATTTGAATGCAATATTCCTGCTTCTTGGCAGAATGGGGTTGGACTGGACGGCCCATGAGGTCTCTTCCAACTCTTTGATTCTATGATTTGATTCTATGATTCTATAGAATCATAGAGTTGGAAGAGACCTCATGGGCCATCCAGTCCAACCAATAAATACAAAAAACTGCAGATTGCAAATCACAACTTCTGTATTACAGGAACATCTTCATTCAACGTAACGTGGGAACAGTAACACTATTGATTAGTAATCTATATAAATAAAAAATTAATGTTCGTTTGTGGGATTAACATAACTCAAAAACCACTGGACGAATTGCCACCAAATTTGGACACAAGATACCTACTAACTCAAGGAGTGACCATCACTCAAAAAATTGAGTTTGTCATTTGGGAGTTGTAGTTGCTGGAATTTATAGTTAACTCCACCAATGATGGAAATGAAGCAAACGTGGCACACAGGACTCCCATGACCAACAGAAAATACTAGAAGGTTTTGGTGGGCATTGACCTTGAGTTTTGGAGTTGTAGTACACCTACATCCAGAGAGCACTGTGAACTCAAACAAAAATGGATCTGGACCAAACTTGGCACAAATATTCCAAATGTCCAACTAGGAACACAGATGGAGCTTGGGGGGAAATGGTCCTTAACATTTGGGAGTTGTAGTTATTGGGATTTATAGTTCACCAAAAATCAAAGAGCATTCTGAACCCCACCAACGATAGAATTGGGGCAAACTTCCCACACAGAACCCCTATGACCGGTAGAAAATACTTAAGACCATCCAGTCCAACTCCCTTCACCAGGGCAAGAAAATGTAATCAAATACTGTTTACCCACAAGCATAAAGAAATTACATATATTAGAAACCAACACTTTATCATTACTTTATTTTCCAGATGATCAGACTGGGCCACAGCAATGCGTGGCAGGGGACGACTAGTTGTTTATAAATGAAAGGTTGCTTATCAATATTCTGTAAACACAATGAAATTTAAGCTTCCAAAATGACAATTACTATATACCAGGAGATTCTTCATTAGTTCATGCAAAGTTGCTTATCAATGTTTTTAGAATATAATGAGATTTCAGTTTCCAAAGTAACAATTTGTTGTAAAAGGTTCTTCATCAATATATAACATCAGGAATAGTAACACAACAAGGTCTCTGTTTTCCTTGTTTCGTAATATCTTCTTCGGGTGTTATTCTTATCTATGATGTTTGAATTCACCGAATAAGAAATAAAACAACATATAGAAAATAGATATATTAAAATTCCCATATTGACATAGTTTCAACCTTTTCAAAACTATGCATGAGGTCATGAACTAATGAAGAATCTCCTTGTATATAGTAATTAAATTTCATTGTGTTTACAGAATATTGATAAGCAACCTTTCATTTATAAACAGTTCCCACTGTTCCCACGTTATGTTGAACGAAGATTTCCCTGTAATATAGAAATTGTGATTTGCAATCTGTAGGTTTTTTTCTGCAGTTGTTATAGATATCTGTGCATGTTACACACATCCAGTCCAACCCCCTGCCAAGAAGCAGGAACATTGCATTCAAAGCACCCCTGACAGATGGCCATACAGCCTCTGTTTAAAAGCCTCCAAAGAAGGCACCCCCACCACACTCTGGGGTGGAGAGTTCCTGCCTGAGCTGATTCCTGCCTGGGGGAATCCTTTGTTGGAAGGTCTTTGCTGGCCCCAATTGTTTCATATCTGGAATTCTCCTGTTTTCAGAGTGTTGTTCTTTATTTACTTTCCTAATTTTAGAGTTTTTAGAAAAAGTCAGATTTTGTTCATTTTCTGGGTTTCCTCCATGATTACACAGAAAAGCCTTTGAAATCCACAAGCATGTGGACAATTTTAACAGAAAACATAGCGGAACAGACTTAAAACCCCCCAAAATACACCATATATACATATACTCATATACATATGCACATGCACACATTCATACACACACACACACACACACATATATATGCACAAATATACACATATACACACACATATACACAAATACATGCACACATATATATACATATACACAATATGCATGTGCACATATAAACACACAAATCTATGTTTTTGTTCATTCGTTCAGTCGCTTCTGACTCTTCGTGACCTCATGGACCATCCCATGCCAAAGCGCCCTATTGGCCGTCACCACCCCCAGCTCCTTCAGAGTCAAGCCCGTCACTTCAAGGATGCCATCCATCCATCTTGCCCTTGGTCGGCCCTTCTGCCTCTTTTCTTCCATTTCCCCCAGCATCATTGTCTTCTCTAAGCTTTCCTTTCTTCCCATGATGTGGCCAAAGTACTTCATCTTGGCCTCTACTATCTTCCCTCCAATGAGTAGTCAGGGCTTTTAATCCTGAAGTATGGACTGGTTGGATCTTCTCGCAGTCCAAGGCACTCTCAGCACTTTCCTCCAACACCACAGCTCAAAAGCATCGATCTTCCTTCGCTCAGCCTTCCCTAAGGTCCAGCTCTCACATCCGTAGGTGACTACAGGGAATACCATGGCTTTGACTAGTCGGATCTTTGTTGCCAGTCTGATGTCTCTACTCTTTACTATTTTATCGAGATTGGACATTGCTCTCCTCCCAAGAAGTAAGCGTCTTCTGATTTCCTGGCCACAGTCTGCATCTGCAGTAATCTTTGCACCTAGAAATACAAAGTCTGTCATGGCCTCCACATTTTCTCCCTCTATTTCCCAGTTGTCAATCATTCTTGTTGCCATAATCTTGGTTTTTTTTTAATGTTTAGCTGCAACCCATGCCAGTAAGGTAATGCTCAAGATCCTGCAAGGAAGACTCCAGCAAGACATGGAGCGAGAGTTGCCAGATGTTCAAGCTGGGTTTAGAAAAGGCAGAGGAACGAGAGACCAGATTGCCAATATCCGCTGCATAATGGAGAAAGGCAGGGAGTTTCAGAAAAACATCTATTTCTGCTTCATTGACTACTCTAAAGCCTTTGACTGTGTGGATCATAATAAACTGGCAAGTCCTTGGTGGGATGGGCATACCAAGCCACCTTGTCTCTCTCCTGAGGACTACCTTTACCTACCATATATGTATACGCAAACACACATATATACACACACGTACACACATAAATACACACAAAACAAATATACATAGTCTAGGCCACAGCAACGCGTGGCAGGGGACGGCTAGTAAATAAATATAAAGAAAAAGAAGCCAGCAGCGCGCGGCTCCTTTAAAACCGCCGCCATGTTTGTTGATGGCACGGCTCTGCATCTCGCTGAGCAGCTGACGCCGCCAAAGGCCCTGATTTGGAGACTTCCGGTTGTGGCCCACGCACAGCGTTACACATATCCCGGCGTCCCGTGCGGCGCTTCTTTCTTTTTCCGGCCGGCCATTTTCCCTCCCGGGAGGTGAGTGCTTGTGTCGCGGAAGGGGACGGGGCGTTATCTGCCGCCATCCTCCGCCTGAAGCGGGGTGCGTGGCTCTTCAGGCGAGCGGGGGGATTCTCGGGGGCCCCACGACTACGAAGGCAGGCTTCTTTGGGGCGGGGAGGGAGAGGCCGGCGGAAAGGCCGCCCTGGAAGTGAGCGGCCCCTCCGAGGCGCTGTCAAGGCCTGGGCCGCCATCGATTCTTGTCAATGGGAATGTTTGCTTGATAGTTGGGTTCCGTAGGAAATTCACGACCCTCTTTAGTATAATTAAAGGTATATTGGTGAGTGGGGAGGGGCTTCTTTCTGGGTGTCTTTGGTTTATTCCCATTTTAATCTCCCCATTTTAATAGCCATAGGCTTCATATAGCAGTAGTTGTTGCTGCCCTTAGCCACCTTTGTTTAGGTTACTATGCATGTCTCTACACAAGGCATAGGCCAACTTGAGCCCTCCAGGTGTTTTGGACTTCAACTCCCACAATTCCTAACAGCCTACGGCTGTTAGGAATTGTGGGAGTTGAAGTCCAAAACACCTGGAGGGCTCAAGTTGGCCCATGCCTTTTCTACACTGTAGAATTAATGCAGTTTGACATCACTTTTTACTATTGGCTCATTGCTGTGGAATGTGGGCTTTGCAGTTTTACTATACCAAACATAGGCCAACTTGGACCCTCCAGGTGTTTTAATATAAATTGTATTATATGTTGCAATATAATATATTGTGTGTACTACAGCTTACGATACAATATATAATGCTAACATAATATACTAGTAGTGCATTATATATATCGTGGTATAATAATATCTCGATAAAATAGTAAAGAGTAGAGACATCAGGCTGGCAACAAAGATCCGCCTAGTCAAAGCCATGGTTTTCCCTGTAGTCACCTACGGATGTGAGAGCTGGACCTTAGGGAAGGCTGAGCGAAGGAAGATAGATGCTTTTGAGCTGTGGTGTTGGAGGAAAGTGCTGAGAGTGCCTTGGACTGCGAGAAGATCCAACCAGTCCATCCTCCAGGAAATAAAGCCTGACTGCTCATTGGAGGGAAGAATACTAGAGACAAAGTTGAAGTACTTTGGCCACATCATGAGGAGACAGGAAAGCCTAGAGAAGACAATTATGCTGGGGAAAGTGGAAGGTAAAAGGAAGAGGGGCCGACCAAGGGCAAGATGGATGGATGGCATCCTTGAAGTGACTGGTCTGACCTTGAGGGAGCTGGGGGTGGTGACGGCCGACAGGGAGCTCTGGCGTGGGCTGGTCCATGAGGTCACGAAGAGTCGGAGATGACTGAACGAATAAACAACAATAATAATATAGTACTATGTAGTACCAATGATAGGATACGATCTGTATAAATAAAAATGTAATGTTCATTTGTGGGATTAACATAACTCAAAAACCACTGGATAATTGACACCAAATTTGGACACAAGATACATATCAGGCCAACGAGTGACCATCACTCATAAAACACCGAAAACACAGCAGAAGAGACTTTAAAAAGCCAAAAAACCCCCAAAACATACATTGCAACGCATGCACAACACAGCAGAGAAGACTTTAAAAGCCAAAAAACAAAACATACATTGCAACGCATGCACAAAACCACATATATACACAACACACAGGCCTCGGCCTGTGTAAGCCGCATCAAATCCTTCGGGAGATGCTAGCGGGGTACAAATAAAGTTTAATAATAATAATACACATGTACACAAATATATACACACACACAAAACATATATACATAGACTGGGACACAGCAATGCGTGGCAGGGGACGGCTAGTATATAATACTAACATTATAACGTACTGGTAGTGTATTGTATGTATTGTGGCATAATAATATAGTACAATGTAGTACCACTGAGCTGCTGAACTTAGGGACCAAAGGGTTGGCAGTTCAGATCTGGGGAGTGGGGTGAGCTCCTTCTGTTAGTCCAAGCTTCTGCCAACCTAGCAGTTTGAAAACATGCAAATGTGAGTAGATCAATAGGTACTGCATCTGCAGGAAGGTAACTGTACTCCATGCAGTCATACCGGCCACATGATCTTTGAGGTGTCTATGGACAACACTGGCTCTTCGGCTTAGAAAAATGAGCACCAACCCCCAGAGTTGGACACAACTAGACTTAATGTCAAAGGGAAACCTTTACAATGCAATAATACACAACAATATAATTGTATATTATATATAATATTGCTAGTAATGTTGCAGTATAATGTGTTCTTATTTTTGATGTAGATGGGGATTTATTTTAGGGATTTGGGTGTTCGTTGTTTTTGTCTTTGTCTAGTTTCTCATGGCATTTAATGTTTGCCGATATCTATTGTAAACCACTCTGAGATCCCTCAGGGAGACAAGGTGGGATATAAATAAAGTTTTGTTATTATTTTGGACTTGACTCTCAAAATACCTGTAGGGCCCAAGTTGGCCTGTGCCTGGTCTATATTTTACAATGAATGCAGCTCAGCTCCTTGCAAAACTACAGCTCCCAGGATTCCATAGCCTTGAGCCATGGGGGGCCAAACTCTATTAATGCTACAGTGTAGATGCACTATGGACCATGTAGTCTAACATACATTAGTTTGGTATTGGTTTATCTAACATACATTAGTTTGATATTGTGATATGTCTCAAAGGCTAATCAATAAAATTATTATCAAAACACATTTTACATGAAGTAAATGTGTGCTATGCTATTAGTGTACATTCTAAAATATTGCGGCTTCATATAATAATTTTATACAACAATTTCAATGGTCTGTTTCGTAATTGTTCTTACCAATTACAGGAGACCTATAGAATTAGTGGGAACTTGGTTAGACTCTGCAGAGGAGTTAGTATTAATTGGATTCAATGGTGTATTTCAGGGGTCCTCAAACTAAGGCCCGGGGGCCAGATACGGCCCTCCAAGGTCATTTACCCGGCCCTCGCTCAGGGTTAACCTAAGCCTGAAACAACTTGAAAGCACACAACAACAATCCTATCTTGTCAGCCAAAAGCAGTCCCACGCTTCCCATTGAAATACTAATAAGTTTATATTTGTTAAAATTGTTCTTCGTTTTAATTATTGTATTGTTTTTAAATGTTTTTGCACTACAACACAATAGTGCAGTGTGCATAGAAAGTCATTAGTGTTTTTGTTGTTTTTTTTTTCAAATTATAATCCGACCCTCCAACAGTTTGAGGGACTGTGACCTGGCCCTCTGTTTAAAAAGTTTGAAGGCTCCTGGTGTATTTAGTTCTGTTTATCTCATGGTCTACATTTTGAACTGTATCTAAAACTAAGACTTTCAAGGATCAGAAATCTGATTGCAATGAGAAATTTTATGATTGTGGACAGTTAATTTGGATACAAATACTTTGTTAATTGTAACAAAATTTGTAACATTTTATGTTCCTGGTTTGAAAGTGTTATTCCTGTTTAATTGTGTGGTCCTTACTTTGAAAGTAGTTGTTCTACTCCAAAAACTTTATTTCTGTGGCTGCCACAAATTAGGTTGAATTGGTTGAGACTCTATGAGATATCTATTGAAAAACTAGCGCAAAATGTGCTGCAGGATGTCTTGTAAAAACAAAGTTTTTGCAGTTTAATAAACTTCTTCCATGTTTTTATGATAGAACAAATTAGGAAATGACATTTATAAGCCAGGAACAAAAATCGTGTTACACAGTGTTATTGATTGATAAAAGTAAAACTGTGCACTTTTTAAATAAGAACCTTGCAATTTCAAAATCCTCATTATAGATAGATAGGCAAGCAAGCAATGTACACACTTGTTAGAATTGTTGTTGCTATCCTGTTTTATGTTGATTGAAGTAATATCACACACAGGGAATATTAAAGAGAACTCCATTTATTGAGGAGATCCCAGAGAAAATAGACAGTACTGCCATCTGATACTATTATTATATTATATTTTCTTCTCTCCACTGGAGAGTGGGTAAGAATCTGTCAGTAAAATTAAATGCAAATGTGTACAAAGTCATATGGAGATGGAATACCACATCAGGTGGATAGTAAACAAAGTAACCTCTGCTGTAGATGTGGCATGCACAAAGGGGCATATTTTCATTTATGGTGAGAATGCCCCCAGTTGAAGAGTTTTTGGAAGTCGCCTTTGGGCTGAGAAAGGCAGTATACAAATATAGTAAATAAATAGTAAATATATTTATTGAAATAGGTAGTATTATAGGACTAAACATCACCCCGGATGTGAGGTTAGCATTACTAATGGACGCCACAAAGTTGAATTTAGAAATGGAAAAGAAAGAATTGGTGATTATTTTACTCACAGTGGCGAGACTTATAATCGCAAGGAAATGGAAAATAGTAATGAATATCACGCTGGAAGCATGGTATGGGGAGGTATGGAATGTAGCCTTAAATGATAAAACTATAAAAGGAAATGAGGGTGTTCAGGGGGGAAAGTAACAGATTTTGATTTTGATTCATACTGGCCAGTTTTTATAAAAAATGTTTTAGAGTACTGAAAAAGGAAAACAATACAACCTTGTTGGTCAGGAATTTTGGATTTGACATTTGGTTAAGAGTTGACTCATACATTTATGGCAAAGGAAAGGGATACTTGTTCAGGCTTGGTGGTGAGGTTACGTGTTTGTAAAATGGTCATTGTTTCATGTTCTGTTTACATTGTAAGGTAAAATGATCAAGGTTCTGGAGAACAAGCCCTATGAGGAGCGGCTTAAGGAGCTGGGCATGTTTAGCCTGAAGAAGAGAAGGCTGAGAGGAGATATGATAGCCATGTATAAATATGTGAGAGGAAGCCACAGGGAGGAGGGAGAAAGCTTGTTTTCTGCTTCCCTGGAGACTAGGACGCGAAACAGTGGGTTCAAACTACAAGAAAGGAGATTCCACCTGAACATTCCTGACTGTGAGAGCCGTTCAGCAGTGGAACTCTCTGCCCCGGAGTGTGGTAGAGGCTCCTTCTTTGGAAACTTTTAAACAGAGGCTGGATGGCCATCTGTCAGGGGTGATTTGAATGCAATATTCCTGCTTCTTGGCAGGGGGTTGGACTGGATGGCCCATGAGGTCTCTTCCAACGCTTGGATTCTATGATTGTATGTAAATAAAAAGTATTTCAAAAACTATATTATATTTTTTTAGGTACCAAGTGATCCCTAGGTTAGGTTATTTATCTTGATAAAAGTTGAAATCTTGTTTCCATTGGGCTGGCATGTTTTGTGGGCCTGAGAGTACAGATTTGAATCCCTGCTGCATAGCATCAAACATACCTTTTATTTGTATTTAGGGCAATTAATAGGAGTTTTTAAATGTGCCAGAAAGTACTTCGATATCTTTAACCATCTCCTTGTAATTTCCAGGGCAATAAGCAGCCATGGCGCCCAGCCGAAATGGCATGATATTGAAGCCCCATTTCCACAAAGACTGGCAAAGACGGGTGGCCACTTGGTTTAACCAGCCAGCCAGGAAGATCCGCAGGTGAGAGGCTTTGTATACAGGTTCTGTCTGGACAACAAAAGGAGAGCAAGGGTCAGGCTTTGCCATGGGGGGGGGGGGGGTCCTTTGGGTGCCTAGTTTGTGTGGATCTGCTCAGCCAGATGATGAAAATTCTCCGGAATCTCTGTACTCCATTGATGATCTCTTGAACCCATATCTGCTGATGGCTGTGGTAGTGCTTTAAATGGCTGTGAATGGGAGGGTAATTAGTTTTTCATCCAAATGATAATGTTTTACACCTCCTTGTCTTGGCATGTTCTCTGAGTCCAAGTAAGGAAGATTTTTGACATCCCCATCTTTCTCCACTCAGGAGGAAGGCACGGCAGGCAAAGGCCCGTCGAATCGCTCCCCGTCCAGTATCTGGACCAATCAGACCCGTCGTGAGGTGCCCCACTGTCCGATATCATACCAAAGTCCGGGCTGGTAGAGGATTCAGCTTGGAAGAATTGCGGGTAAGTCAAAAAGGACAGTAGGAAAAGTTAAAAAGCACACTAGTTCCTCAAGAATGCAGTTGCCCACAAGAGGTGGGATGAGATATCCTGGTACATGAAATAGCTTTGAAACTGAGGCCTTGAGGGATCATATGTGCTTTTTGTAGTGGATGAACTGATGTGAAGGTTATTAGGTTTGCTAGAAAACAAATCAGCCTCCTTAAATATTAGGTATCTTGCTTTGGCACAGACATATGAAACCCTTGGACCTGTGTTTTGGTTTTCAGTGTCCAACTGGTCTTCCCAGCATAGTCCATGATAAAGGATTACAGAAAGTGAAGTCTTGAGCATTGGAAAAGCTACAGGTGTCTTTCTTCCTCTTTAATGAACAATATTGAGGAAGCTGGTAGCTTAAAGGCTAGTGGTGTTCTCTTCTTGATCCCCTTTATGTAATAAGGATGTAAGTAGCAGAAAGCCCCAGCCTTCCACCTGATCCTGTTGTTGTATTCCCTCAGGTACCTGGCCATGCCCAGGTTAGGTTATTTGTCATGATAAATATTAGAAACAGTCATTGTTTGATGTGTTGTCAAGGCTTTCATGGCCAAAATTACTGGGTTGCTGTGAGTTTTCCAGGCTGTATGGGTGTGTTCCAGAAGCATTTTTTTCTGATGTTTCGCCCATATCTATGGCAGGCTTCTTCAGAGGTTGTGAGGTTTGCCTTGTTTCCAACAAACCTTACAACCTCTGAGGATGCCTCCCATAGATGTGGGCGAAATGTCAGGAGAGAATGGTTGTGGAACATGGCCATACAGCCCAGAAAACTCACAGCAACCTAGGCATTGTTTTATTTTTGGTTTTATGAATGGCCCCATTGAAAATAGAATTGGCTCTCTCAATGTAGGATACACATGGGTCTTTGGATGTGGGTGAACGAGACAGCTTCCATCATCCTCTGTCAGATCACCCCTGAAACCTTCACAGTATTTTAAGTTGGTCATGATAGGTCTGTGTGCAAAGTTTGGCCCACATTTACTATCAGTGAGGTTCACAGTGCTCTTTGTATGTGGAAGCCATCTTGAAAAATACATACATGCAAACATGCTTTGACTTTTATTATATACATAGACGTGAATTTATTTTTCTCCCAATTTTATCTTCTTACTGAGTTGCAAAACCATTGAAAAACAACAAGGTTACTATAAAAAAACTCATTTGGCAGAGTTATGTTTTAATGTATTGGATAAATATTGAGCCTCCACATATTTTAGAAAGCCATTATTCAGCATGGCAGTCAATCTGTGTTTGTGTGTATTCCAAGGTGACTACCTGCGGGGTTAAAAGAAAATAATGTTAGTCTTAATTGTGAAGACTGAGTTTTAAAGGCTATTTTAAGTGTATTTATTATATTTTAATCAGTTTTTAAGCACACTGTAATATTTACCGTATGTACTCGAGTATAAGCTGACCCGAATATAAGCCGACGTACCTAATTGTATCATAAAAAACTGGGAAAACGTATTGATTCGAGTGTAAGCCGAGGGTGGGAAACACAGCAGCTATGGGTAAATTTCAAAATAAAAATAGATATCAATAAAATTACATTAATTGAGGCTAAATGTTAAATGTTTTTGAATATTTACATAAAACTATAAGATAAGTCTGTCCAACTCTGATTAAACCATTATTCTGACCTCCTTCAATGTAAACGTGCTCACGTATCCTTCCAATAATAATAGAATAAAATAATTAATGTAATCATAACAATAATAATGGAGTAAAATAATAAAAGTAATAATAATAACAAATAGAGTAAAATAATAAATGTAATAACACTAATAGAGTAAAATAATAAATGTAATAATAACAGAGTAAAAATAATAAATAACTTTGACTCGAGTATATGCCAAGGGGGACTTTTTCAGCCTAAAAAAGGACTGAAAACTCAACTTATTTGTGAATATATATGATAATTGTTTGGGGTTTTTAAACTTTTGTATTGTGCCTTTTAAAGTTGACTAAAGTGTGGTATTGTTAGCCGCCATGATTCCTCACGGAGAGAAAGACGGGATATAAATAAACTTAATAATAAGTGTGCAAATACACTTCCACCCACCATTGGAATGTGTGCCTCACGGGTCAGGGTTGAGCCCAAGAGTTCACCCAAACCAACCTTGAGATTTCAGGGGATTCTATCTCCATCCAGCACAACATGTGATAATTTCTGTGCAGTCCCTTCAGTCAAATGATGACACTGTCTCTGGACCATCTGTAGTTTCCATGATGACCATGGCTTGAACCCTTTTCCAGCTGATGACTGTTGTGACCACAGAGGAGGGGTTGGGTGGCCAAGTGAGACCATTGCATGAAGCATTTAAGTTCTCGACCCCTTCTCCATAGATGGCCGGCATCAACAAGAAGTTTGCCCGGACGATCGGGATCGCGGTGGACCCCCGTCGCCGCAACAGGTCCACAGAGGCCCTGCAGACCAACGTCCAGCGGCTGAAGGAGTACCGCTCCAAGCTCATCTTGTTCCCCAGGAAGCCTTCTGCGCCCAAGAAGGGAGACAGTCCAGTAAGTACTGGGAGAAAGTAACAAACTTTGGGGCCTCAGGCTGTTTGAGAAGAAACAGCAGCTCTGCTGGGCTAAAGGGAGAGTGCGATGATAAAACAGTGCTTAGAAGCAAGGATATGAACTTGGAAGACTCTTGCATCTAATCTGACCTGCTTCTATGAGTAAGGCCAACCAGCCTGTAATATTTAAAACAGTATTTTTTTCATTTAAATTGATTTAATGCTTTTATTTGTATGTAATTATTGTATTTTATTATGTGGTATATGGGAACATTGAATCGTTGCCGGCTATAAGCTGCCCTGAGTCCCCCTCCGGGGGTTGAGAAGGGCGGGTACAAATATTTTAAATAAATAAATAAATTCTGGACGATTGGCCCAACACTTCCATGCTAGGATTTATTTTTGTGTAAAGGTGGAGTGGAATAAATGGCCCCTTATTCATCTTTGTGGCTTCTTCCTTTCTTTCCAACCCAGGCAGAAGAGCTCAAGATGGCCACCCAGCTCTCCGGACCAGTTATGCCCATCAAGAATGTAAGTGATCTGTTCTCTTCTTGCCATTTCTGGGGCTTTTCCCTGGCATTTAGCAAGGAGACCCTTCCTGTTTATAGATGGAGTATCTTGATACCTGTAGAGTGAAATTCAAAAAGAGACCGCTTCAGGTCTCTTTTTTAGAGGGGAAAAGGCACAATAATAATAATAACAACAACAACCTTAATAATGATAATACAAAGATTGAGTTTATAAAGTTATGACAGTTATAATACCATCCTGAATAAATCCAATCTTGTCTGATTTCAGAAGCTAAGCAGGGTCAGATATGGTTTGTTTGGAGGGAATATACCAAGCATGGGCAAACTTTCCAATTTGGGGGCTGCATGGTGGGACAGAGCCAGGTGGGCAGGCCAGGAGGGAGGAAGTTGTCCCCAAGCCCTCCCCCCGCCCTTTCCTTCCCTTCCTCTTCTCTTTTGGAGGCAGAAAGAGAAGGAAAGGCAGGAAACATTTGGATCCCAAAAGGGTTGGTCTGGGTCAGGATGAGATGGTGGGCGGGAGAGAAAAAGTTAGACCCCCATATTGCCTACTCCTGATATAGAATCCTAGAGTTGGGAGAGAGCCCCAAAGGCCATCCAGTCCAACCCCCTGCCATGCAGGAAGGCACAATCAAAACACTCCCAATAGATAGCCTGTGCGGAAAAGCCTCCAGAGAAGGCAACTCCACCACACCCTGAGTCAGCCTATGCCACTTTCCAACAGCTCTTACTCTCAGGAAGTTCTAATCTTTTCAGTCATTTGAACCTATTGCTGCCTTGTGCCCTGATCTCTAGAGCAGCAGAAAGTCAGTTTTCTCCCTCCTTCCTCAGTTAGACACCATTTCAAATCCTGAAACATGGTTCTTATGTTCCCTCTCAACCTTCTCTTCTCCCAGCTAAACATCCCCCAGGATGAAAGGAAAAAGGAAGGAAGACAAGGAGGGATGGGTGGAAGGGAAGGAAGGAGGCAGGAAAGAGGAAAGGACAAAAGGCCGGAAGGGAATGGAGAGAGGGAGAAAGAAGGAGGGAAAGAAGAAGAAAAGAGAGAAGGAAGGAAAGACCAAAAGGGAGGGAGGGAGGGAAGGAAGGAGAAACGGAGGAAAGAGGAAAGGAAGGAAGGACAAAAGGGTGGAAGGGAAGGTGGGAGGGAGGGAACGATGAAGGAAAAAGGAAGGAAGGATAGGATAGGATGGTGAGAGAAAAGAAGGCCTGGGTTTGCCTATTCCTGGAATATATTAATAGATCTCCAGGTTGGGATCAGGAAAAAAGGCTGGCACAAGTCAGAGTTGGTAGTACAAGGTTTATGGGCTCCCAAGGACCTTGCTCTGTGTCCCTTTCTTTTCTAGTTTTGTTCATAAATGAAACCCTTTTCTGACTTATGTGAAGCCTGTGTTGCATTTATTTATGGCTTTGCTTGCTAGGGTTTTGTAAAGTTTGTTAAGAGGCATTTTGCTGCTCTTGCCTTCCTCTGAGGCGGGAGAGTGACTTTCCCAATACTGAGGAAATTGCACCGGGCTGGCTCTAGTGAAGCTAAAGTGTGAGTGACCCTGGGTCTCTTGCCCTTCCTTCCCAGGTCCACAAGAAAGAGAAGGCTCGGGTCATCACCGAGGAGGAGAAGAACTTTAAGGCCTTCGCCAGCCTGCGCATGGCCAGGGCCAACGCACGGCTTTTCGGCATCCGGGCCAAACGGGCCAAAGAAGCTGCTGAGCAGGAAGTGGAGAAGAAAAAATAATAATAAACTTTTTGCTTGGGGCCTCTCAATAAAAGTGGATGGATCTAAAATGGCAATGTGGTACCGTCTTGTGTCAAAACACGGGAAAGGGAGACGTGACCTGGGAATTGAACCAAGGAAGAGCAAAAATATTTCAGTCCAGGTATAGGTTTCAATGCCTATCTTTGGATGGTGTCTATATTTGAATCAGTGGTGGCTTTGCTGCAAAAGGCTTTAGTGTGAATAAGAATCTTATCAGTAATTGAGGAAGAGACACGGAAGAGGTTTTCCAGTTCTAAGTAGCAAGAGGCGATGGGGTTAGACTCACTTCTGCAAAACTAGAACCGCTTAGACCACTGTTTCTCAAGCTGGGGGTTGCGAGAGGGTTTCAGAGGGGTTGCCAAAGACTATCAGAAAATATTCTGATGGTCTTAGGAATCCCTTTGGCAGAGGGATTCCTAAGATCTTCTCTTCCTTTTTGGAAACAGAGGGCAAATCCTCCCACCAAAAGCCCTCCACTGTGATTGGCTGGCTTCTCAGCCAAGGGGAGGATTGTTTTTGATACTCCAAGTGGGGAGGCATGCTCAGCGCATGGCAGCATAGTTTGAGGGAGAGCACGCAAGGCTGGAAGGAGGCTCAGGCCAGCAGGTCCCTTCAAGACACAGGAGAAAGTGCCCATGTGGCATGGGACTGAGAGTGGCCCAGCAGCATCAGGAAGAGGAGGAGCAGAAGAAGCAGCTTAGGTAATTTGTAATACTATTTATTAGAAAAAACATTTTTTTTCTTTTTTATTACTGCTCCCACTAGAAAATGTGGGTGAACTACAACTCCCAAAACCATGGGTCAGTTCTCAAATTCACCAGTATTCACAGTTGGCCGTGTTGGGTCTGTGCCAAATTTGGTCCAGATCTGTCAGCTGGCATCAGTCCTCTTTGGATGCAAGTGAACTACAGTTCCCATATGCCAAAGTCAGTGACCTCCAAACCTCGCCTTTATTCAAGGTTGGCAACCTTGGGTGTGTGTGCCGTTTGGTTCAGATCATTGTTGTTTGAGTCCACTGAATGGGGGTGAACTACAACTCCAAAACTCAGTGTCAATACCCATCAAACCCTTCCAATATTTTATGTTGGTTGTGGGAGTTTTATGTGCCAAGTTTGGTTTAATTCCATCATTGGTGGAGTTCAGAATGCTCTTGATTGTAGGTGAACTATAAATCCCATTAACTACAACTCCCAAATGGCAAAATCAACCCAACCCCACCAGGATTCAGATTTGGGCATATTGGATATTTGTGCCCAATTTGGTCCAGTGAATGAAAATACTTTCTGCATATCAGATATTTACATGACGATTCGTAATAGTAGCACAATTACAGTTGTGAAGTAGCAATGAAAATAATGTTATGGTTGGGGGGCACCACAACACAAGGAACTGTATTAAGAGGTTGTGACATTCGGAAGGTTGAGAAACACTGTCTTAGAGAAATGTAATTTCCTTATTCTTCTATGGCTATTTCAAAGATGTAATTATTGGGGTGCTTTCCCCCCCCCCCCCTTGAGATCAGACATGGCTCCTCAACAGACGTACTCCTGGTAATAAAAGCAAGCTGTTTTTCCCCTGTATTTTGCATTCCAAGGAAGGCATGGCTTAGATTATAGGAATTCCTGTCCAGTTTGGTGTGTTTTACTGCCTTCTCACCTTGCATGCATCATAGTAAATGATATTTGGCTTAACACAGGCATGGGGAAACTTTGGGCTTCCGGGTGTTTTGGGCTTCTGGATGTTTGGGACTTCAAATCCCACAATTCCTAAACAGCCTACCAGCTGTTAGGAATTGTGGGACTTGGAAGTCCAAAACATTCGGAGAGCCAAAGTTTCTCATAACACCTCAGGTTGAGTCAGATTGTGAGATTGCCCAAACCTACATCTGTTCAGCCCTATACATCTTAGTATCTCCAAATGCTGCAGCTCATCATCACAATGATCCTGCAGGTGTTCCCATACGCTTACTGTTTGTCTTAAGTTATTTCCAAACTGGCAACCCTAAGGCAGAACGTACTATGAGACTTTCTTGGCAGGTTTGGTTCAGAGTGCCTTCCTCTGAGGCTGAGAGAGCGTGACTCCAAAGGTCACCCAGTAGGTTTCCCGTATAGAGCCAAGACTTCAGTCTTAGGCCCCTTCTACACTCATATAATCCAGGTTTTCAAAGCAGATATCTACATCTGTTTTGAACTGGATTATATGAGTCTACACAGCTGCAAAAAATCTCACCAATTTTTTTGTCGTGTCAGGAGCAAGTTGCTTTTGGTGTGAGAGAATTGGCCATCTGCAAGGACGTTGCCCAGGGTATGCCTGGGTGATTTGATGTTTTTATCATCTTTGTGGGAGGTTTCTCTCATGTCCTTGCACGAGAAGCTGGAGCTGATATAGGGAGCTCATCCACCTCTCCCCGGATTCGAACCTGCGACCTGTCGGTCTTCAGTCCTGCCGGCACAGGGGTTTAACCCACTGCGCCACGAGGGGCTCCATATCTCACCAATTGAAAAGTTGGCATTTCAAGCCCAGTCTGTGGTGAGCTCCCTCCGTCAGACCCAGCTTCTCATCTAGCAGATCGAAAACAGCAACGTGAGTAGATAAATAGGTACCACTTTAAGCAGGGAGATAGTTAAAAGGCACCCATAAGGACATATTCAGCCCGATCGGGAGAATGTCTACAAACAAAGCTTGGCATGGAAGATGGAGCAACAGCACCTTCCCAAGACCTGAGTCAAGCACAGCCTCCAAGTGGCTGGAAATGGAAAAATTATTTACCTCTGTTTATGTATTGTCTGCCCTTGTTAATGGTATAATGGCATTGAATATTTATTTATTTACTACACTTTTATCCCTCCCTTTTCAGCCCAAAGGCGACTCAGGGCGGCGTACAGACTACCAACATTAGATGCTGAACACACATAAATACATCATTTAAAACAGATTAAATCACATAATATATATTTATATATGTGTGTGTGTGTGTGTGTTCTATAATCTGCCCTGAGTCTCCTCGGGGAGAGGGAGCAGAATATAAATAAAGTATATTTTGTATGGCAGTCTCCAGAAGCCCCCAAATCTCAAAACCACGACAGTGCCTCCCTAATACATTGCAAAATTATTGCTGTAATTTTCAGTGTAGAGTCAAGCCATTCTCAGTTCAGAACCAGGATTTCATGCCAGGCCTGCACTTGAGCCAGACTGAAAGGTAATTTTTGGTTTTGTTCTGCGATAATAGGAGGTTGTGCTGATAATTGCTCTGTGGGTAGAAATTTTGCGGACTCCAAATGAGAATGTTGCAGTCAGTGTCAGAACTGTCATTAAGAGGAGAGGTCAGTTGGGCCACGCATTTACCTGAAATAGACCCATGACAAGGCAAAAAAAGGAGAAACTTCAACCTCCTGAGTTTCTTGGTCCCAACATTTTGGACGTGGATAGACATCTAATATGCGGATTGTTTCTTTGACTAAAAGGAGTAACCTTTTGGAATATGTGCATCCAGGTGAAAAAAAATCCAGTCACAAGAAACAATCAGGGCTAGCTAATCACCTCCCAACAAAGGATTCCCCCAAGCAGTAAGAAGCCAGGTTTTGAAGCTGCAAGGCCATTCAATGCTAATTAAGGTGGCCAATTGCAACATTCACACCTACCTCAAAGTTCTTCCTCCCACCCTGGACATTCCACAGATATATAAAACCAATTTTCCTAGTTTTCAACCCCACAATGGACCCCACAACCTCTGAGGATGCCTGCCACAGATGCAGGTGAAACGTCAGGAGAGAATGCTACTGCAGCATGGAAAATCACAACAATCCAATCCTGAGAAAGTTTGTGCCTATTTTTCTACCTTAAGTGATACAATACACCCTTGGGGTCTGTTGTGGTTTTCTTCCAGGATCTCCTGTAGATTCCAAAATCCATGGTTCCTCAAGTCCTGTTGTATGCAATTGTATCGAATGGCAAAATCAGGTTGGCTTTTGGGGGTTTTGGAAAATATTTTCAACTATGGATAGTGGACTCCATGATGAAGAGAGCCAGTTGTATTAATGTAGGATACTGACTTGCAGAGATATGGGATTTCCACACGATGGCAGCAATGCCTCAAGGTAAGATTTCCAGAAATGAACAAAGCGTTGCAGGTTTAACATCCCATCTTATTTTCGAGTTTCCTGTCCCTAAATCAGTGTTTCTCAACCTTCCTAATGCCACGACCCCTTAAAACAGTTACTCATGTTGTGGTGAACCCCAAACATAACATTGTTTTTGTTGCTACTTTATAACTGCAATTTTGCTATTATTATGAATCATAATGTAAATATCTGATATGCAGGATGTATTTTCATTCAGTGGACCAAACTTGGCACAAATACCCGAAACGCCTGAATTTGAATATTGGTGGGGTTGGGGGAAATTATTTGTCATTTGGGAGTTGTAGTTGCTGGGATTTATAGTTCAGCTATACTCAAAGAGTTTTCTGAACTCCACCAAATATAGAATTGAACCAAACTTGGCACACAAAACTCCCATGAGCAACAGAAAATACTGGAAGGGTTTGCTGGGCATTGACCTTGAGTTTTGGAGTTGTAGTTCAACTCCATCCAGAGAGCATTGTGGACTTAAGCAATGATGGATCTGGACCAAACTGGGCACAAATACTCAATATGCCCAAATGTGGTTTGGGGAAAATAGAGCTTGATGTTGGGGAGTTATAGTTATTGGGATTTATAGTTCATCTAGAGCACTTTGAACCCAGCCCACAATGGATCTGCTCCAAACTTGGCACACAACCTACATGGCCAACATTGAGTAGTGGTGGGGGCTGTTTTCGAATTCTGGAAGTTGTAGTTCACCAATACCAAAAAGGAAGAGAAGGAGAGGTGGAAATATCTTCAGCCTTCTCTGCCAAAGGGGTTCCTAAGACTATCAGAAATATGTGTTTTCTGATGGACATTTGTGACCCCTCTGAAACCCCCTATAATGCCCCCACTCCTAACATAGCTATTTCCTTGCTTTATGGGGAATGCATCTGTCTTGTTTC